TTTCCAGATACGTAAATAGAGGTCTTTAATTCCAGTGTAATTCAGTAATACCATTGCATAGTATTCTGTAAGGTGACTATATCATGATGTAGCCAGTCCTCTTTTTAGGGATTTTTGTGGGCACTGGGTAAATTAAATTCCACCGATGCTTTTTGAATAGGTCCCATAGTCACGTGCTTCAAAATTCAAGATGCACATGAGGGTAAACAGTGAAGTCTCCTTCCTACCCGTCCCTAGCCACCCAATACCTCTCTCTGTTCCTCCTGTGGCCTTCCTGAGATAGTCTGTGCACATAGAAGCAAATGTGCATATAAATTCTTTTCCTCATCTTCTCTCCATTTTGTGCCAAATCAGCCTATCATGATCTCTGTTCTGCTCCTTGCCTCATTCACCACAGCTCTGGGAGGAGTGCGCTGCGTGTCGGAGCCCCTGGCTCTTTCCTCTTTCCTTTTGTAGCTGCACGGTAGGGATCGTCTCTTTCATGTAACTGCCCTTCTTGATCAGCATGTAGGTTGCTTCTACTCTCTCCCTACGACCAACTTTACTAAAAGAGTAACCTTTTACGTATGTTACTTATAGTGTACATCTATAGAACAATTTCTAGAAAGGGAAACGCTGGGTTACGGGAAGGTAAAGCAGAGGTTACAGGGTTAAGGGCCCTATCCTTAGCTATGGCCAAGTTGCTCTCCACAGAGGTTGAACCAGTTGACACTCCAGTCACGAGGGTGCCCACCTTCCCATATCCTGGCCAGGACAGGGTGCCTCAAGCCATTTGACCTGTTTTCAAGCTGACTGGTGAAAAGAATCCAGTCCAGTTTACATTTGCATTTCTTCCGTGAGCGAAGTTGGGGATCTCTTTCCTTTCTTGTGAACTACTCCTTCATGTCCTTTGCCTGCTTATCTATTGGGTGGTGGTTTTTGCTGTTGATTTATTAAAGCTCTGGAAGTATTAAATGTATCAGCCCTTTGTCATGAGTCGCAGATATTTTTCACCTCAAATTGTTGTTTTCCTCTCACTTTTGTTTCTGGCATCTTTTTGCCATACAGATAGCTTTTACGTTTGTGTGGTCCACCGATCAGTGCTTCTTTCTTGGCTTCTGGGCTTTGTATCTGTGGAAGGGCTTTTAAGTAGAGATTAGTAGGGGTCGGTCACATCTGGGAGTTAGAGCCCAGGGGGACGGATGTGAGGACAGAGCAGTGGAGTGAGATAGGAGGCTGGGAGCCCCTGGGTTCTAGTGCAGTAGTCCAGATGCAGTGAGAAGAGAAACGGTGAGTCATGGATCTGAGCAGAAGTCAGAGAACCTTGGGAGGCTTCTAGGGGGAGGAGGCAGCCAGGAGGGAAGAGCAGCCATCTCTGGGTGCAGAGCGTGCTGGAGGCAGAGGCCGGCCTCGGCACTCAGGGCTCCCGCTCTTGCCTCCCGATCCAGGAGGAGCTGGAGTTCTGCGAAAAGCTGCTACAGACCTGTTTCTCCAGCCCGTCGGACGACAGCATGGATCGGTGAAACCTGGTGGCTTCTCGCCCCCTTTCTGTGGGAACCCCAGGCCTCCTGCCTCCCGCCCACCCACGAGGCCTTCTCCCAAGGGAGAGCAGGACCGTGTTGGTGCCAAGCTGGGGCGTGCCAGCCCGTCTCTGCTCGGCTTCCTGGGGGGGCGCTGAGAAAGGCGCCGGCTCCTCGGACCCCACCTCTCACGCTCTCTCACTCCGCTTCCCCTTCTCATGTCCACACTGCTCTTCCAATAAAAGTGTCTCTCCTCCTCCACCTCCTTCACTGCCAACTTTGTCACCTCCCCTGGAGGGTGCCTTGGGAAGAGAAGAGGGGCCCGATCTTAGGGGACCTGGGGAGCCATGGAGGGGATGGCAGCTGGAGGAAGCTAGGAATAAAAGTGTTGCTCTCTGAAATCCAGGGCCATTGTCTCCTTTTGTCTTCCCGGCCTCTCGTGAGAGGGAATGCGGAGGACACTCGTCCTTCTTTTTGGCCATCCATCGTCTCTGGTTTCTCCTCCGTGTGAGGAATCCCCACGTGAGACGGCCAACAGTCCCGAGGCGGAAGCCATGTTCTGTCCCAGCATTCCTTGCACCGCTGCACCACGTGACTTCAGCTCCACCAATCAGAACGCCCTGCGTAGCCAGCCCGGGAGCTAGTGATGGAGAAGGCGAGGGGAGGAGGCAAGGGGTAGGGGGGAAGGGTCTGGTGGTCTGGTGGCACTGCCCGCCCCGGTGATGGAGGCTGCGCCGGGTGCCCAAGTCAGGCCTGTGGTGGTGTGGGCTTTGTTCCCGACTGCCAAGCACCAAGCTTTCTCTCTAGCCTTCTCACAGATGGGGGTGGGGGCAGGGGGGCGGGGACAGGGTGGACTGCCTCACCTCCTTTAATTCCTTTTCAGTTCAGCTAAAGGAGGTTTTGTCGTTTACAACCAAGATCCCTGACGGGTGCCATTTTTCAGACGAGGAAGCTGAGCCCCAGATGGTTAATCCGTGGGCAGTTTCACACAGCCAGGATTCAGACCTGGGCTAGTTACAAAGCTGTGTTCCTCCTCCTGGTACCCTGGGTTCCTAGCTCCATTTGAGGCCAGACTAATTACTCTCGTGCGGGATTTACTTGAACTCTTGGGATTTTGGAAGGACGGGTTATTTTCATCCCTCTTCCAAAATTCAGAATTAATCGAAAGGTAGTGACAGAATCCAAGAATTGGAGATCAAATATCACCTTTATTACCGTTGGAGCCAATCAGAGAAAGTGGCTTTAGCCTTGCTGCTACTTCACCCGGGCATTTGACGCACTTGCCCATCCGGTGGCAGATAGCACTGGGCAAGCACAGGCCTGCCCTTGGGTGCGGGAGCAGGCCAGACACTGGGCAGGCTGGCTCCAAGAGGAGGGAGAGCTGGAGGGCTGAGCCACGATGCCCATCCAATCCGGTAAATCATTCCTTGGCCCCTGGAAGGGGTAGAGAGGCCAGGAGAGAGACACTAAGCAATGGAAGTTCCTCCATATGGGAACGTGAACAGTGGGGAATGAGTGTTCCCACCATATACTTTAAGAGGCCATTCAATTCTAATACAAATAACAGCATTTTCTATCTGTGAGTTCTGAGGGTGGACACCCTTAAAACCCTCACTGCTTCCCAGGTTCTTGCAGACTGACTTTGTCAGCTTCTCAGATTCCATTTGGTGGTTGAATACGACCACTCCCCCATCCCTCAGTTCTTGAGTATAGGTGGTAAAACAGTATGGCAACTGCAATCATATTGGAAAAAAGGAAGCCAAATGCTGGGTTAAAGACAAAAAATGTATAAGAAAAGGTAATTCAAGGGACAGAAGGAAATACCTCACAATTGCTTCAAGCTGTATGGCAACAGGAGCCTGGGTCCATTTTAAAACAAGACCTCAGAGAGGAAAAGGTAAGGTTGACAAATCTAAGGAAACAAATTGAGGACTGTGGAAAATCAGATGGTTCAGCAAATATTCGTTCTCTCCCATTCTAGCTTCATGAAAGAAGTGCACTTTCCACCCCATGGTGGGTGGAGTGTAGGTGCCTGCCCAGTGATTTGGGGCTTGAGCATGTGACTTGCTTCTATCAGGGGTGGTGGCAGATGAGATGCAACCTGACGAAATGTGCTAACACAGTTGGGTTTGATCTCTTGTGTTTCTGCCTTCCCTATGAGGTGGTGCCCTGGGTAGCCCATTGGTGCCAGAGTATAAAAGACATCAAGAGTGGAACCAGCCTTGCCAACCTTCACACCTGCAGTTCCAAACTGTGAACACGATACATGCCACTGAGGTTGTGGTTATCACACAGCAGCAGCTAACTGAGACAAGGACCAAAAAACGTCACATGCAGCAAATGCACTGGAAATAGCGAGGACCAGAAGAGACACAGCTGAAAAATCAAATTACACCTGCGGTAATCGGTGAGTGCAGGTGGAAATGACAAAGATTAAAGCAATTAGAGAGAAGCTAACATATATGAAGGACAAATGCATAATTGGCATCCTTGACATAGAGGCAAAACCACTAGAACCAGAAAATGTTCTCAAACACATGACTCAATAAAATGTCCTTGAAATGAAAAAGGTAAACCTGTGGTTTAAAAAAGAAAAGAATGTAAAAGTTGAGTCCTTACACGCATTTACTCAACTTATCCTCACAGGGGGCCTGTAACATGGTGAAAGTTGGGGAAACTGAGGCTCAGAAAAAGATGAGACCTTTTCAATAGTGATACAAGGTTTAGGAGGACCCTTGCAGTCGATGTTGTTAGAGGATAGTATGTTAGCGGATACTGGCAACAGTAAAGACACGGCCTGGGCAAAAGCCTAGAGGTGGGACTGAAGTCAGCCAGAGGCACACACTAGCCGCCGAGAAAGAACGCGGCGGGAGAGAAGCCCCTGGCCTTGGTTGGAGAGAAGACCCGGAGTGGATTCCCCAGGAGCTCGACCCTGGAGCCAAAGCAGGAATATGACTGGAAGAGACAGAAGAGCGCATGGATTTCCAAAAGGAGCGAGTGGGAAGAGAAATCCTGGAACAGGATTTTCTCTGGACTTTGGAACGGACTCGCAGAGAAACGCTACCGGGTGTGCAGCGGCGCCTGCGCATTGGGTTGTCCGGGTTTATTCGGGGAGAGACAGTTGGCGCAAACCGGCGCAAGCGCATCTGCGGCGGAGGTGTTCTGGCTGGGCGGGGTCGGGAGAGGCAGAGCCCATCGCGCACGCGCACTGCAGGATCCAGGCGCGCCGCCTCCGCGGACTTGCGCACCGAGACAGCGGCGGGAGGGCGGGGCCTCCTGCGTGCCCCTGCGCTAGGGGGATTGTGGGATAGTGGCGGACGGAGCCGGGCGTCGGAGGCCCTAAAGAGGACTGCAAAGCCCGGAGACCGCGCCGGTTTGGGGAAGGGGAGGTGGAGGAAGTGGGCCTCAGCTTCCGTCGGCCGCTGCTCAGCCCTGCGGCCTGTTCGGACTGAGAAGGAGGACATCTTCCCTGACCGGCGTTTGCTTTCCCGCGGGGCGCTGGGCTGGGCTGCGGTACCGGGGCGACTTCCCCGCTGAGGGCCTGCGTGGGCCTCACCACCCCACTAGCCTCTCCGGCCCCTGGTCGCGGCTGGCGTCCACCTCGCCGGCGGGCCGCGGACCCACCCTTGTCCCGACCGGCACCGACCCCCGAATCCTGGAACTCGGCACGCGAGGCCCCCCCGGAGCCCCGAGGGCGCGTGCGCGAGCCCCGGCCCGGCCGCCTGCGCGAGCTTCCGCCGCAGCCCCCCGCCCCCACATACCGGGCCCCGGAGCAGGGGCCGGAGCCGCCGGCGGCGGGGCGGGGGGGGCGCCCCGATGAGCCCGGAGTGCGAGGAGCCGCCGCCCCGCCGTGCAGGTGAGCGGGCCGCCGGGACTCTCCCGCAGTCCAGGCACCCCGAGTTCTCCTGCCCGTCCTGCGCCCCGCCCAGGTGCCCTGAATCTTCTCCGCCTTTCTCCTTTGGACCCTTCCCTCCTTCCTGGGGCCTCCCCTCCCGTCTCTTCCTCCTCCGCCCACAAACGTCTGCCCCCGGCCCCCCAAGTCTCTTAGTGTCTCCCTTCAGCCCCCCAAGTCTCCTAGTCTCCGCCCCTCAGCCCCCCAAGTCTCTTAGTGTCTCCCTTCAGCTCCCCAAGTCTCCTGGTCTCTTCGCCTCAGCCCCCCAAGTCTCCTTGTCTCTGCCCCTTGGCCCTCCGAGTCTCTTAGTCTCTGCCCTCAGCCCGTCAAGTCTCCTAGTCTCTGCCCTCCGCCCTCCAAGTCGCCTTGTCTCTGCCCCTCGGCCCCTCAAATCTCTTAGTCTCTACCCCTCTTTGTCTCAAGTCTCTGCCTCTAGGCCTCCATCCCCCAAGGCCACCTTCCCCAGTCTTCTCCCTTTGACTCCCCCACCTCCTCTTTCCTCCCTGGGACTCAGCCTCACTCATTCTTCCTCTGGCCACTCCCTCTCAGACACCCTCTTTTCCTCCTCAGCCCGTTCCCCTTGGACACCCCTTTCCCCCTCCTTCCCTGTCGCCTGCTGTCTGGACCCGGTCTTCTTGGGGACTCTCACCCTTGGTCGGGGCCACTGGAGAGGGGGCCTTCCCCTTCCCCCGACCGTGGCTCCCCCTCCCCGAGTCTCTGTTGCCTTGTGAGGGGGGAGCCAGCCCTCTGGAACAGCCACCTCTCAGTCCCACTCCTGTGAGATGAGCCTGCTGAGGGGAGGGCAGGGAGCCTGCTGCTGGGTATGCGCGAGGGGGGACTCGCCCCAGCCCTGCCCTGGGGAGACAGAGGGACAGTCACAATTACTGGTGTTATGATAGAGGTAACTCAGGGCGCTGCAGGAGGCCATAGCGGAGGGACTGGTGAGACTGGCTCAGCGGGTGGCTTTTTCTGTCTAGGAATGATGAGTAGGAGTTGACAGATGGAGAGTGGGAAGAAGGGCCTTCCGGGTGGAAGGAACAGCATGTGCAAATACGTGAAGGTGGGAACCCAGAAGTCTGTGCGCTGGCGTGCAGATGTGTTGGAAGGGAGTGGGGTGCTGTGCCTTGGTGGAGCTGCTTGTCCAGGCCCTTGGATGTCACCTTCTTTTGCACACCTGTACGTGTGTGCTGAGGATGCAGATGTTACCGTTAACACCAGCCTGAAAGGCAGGATGTTTCTGGAAAGGAAGATGTGTTGTCAGGTGTGGGACGGGGTTCAGAATTGTAAAGAAACTTCAGTGGGGTGTAAAGTGGCGCTGACATCAGTGCTCTGTTCAGAGGGTGGTTCTGGGGGTCCCGAGTGCTGTTTCCAGAAGCCTGTCGCGGAATGCAGGGCACAGGAAGTGCTCCAGGATCGGTACTTTTAGGATGATTATTTGGTTTGGGATTCTCTCCTGTAGTGGGTTCTCAACTGGGGGCGATTGTGTTTCCCAGGGCTCATGTGGCAATGGCGGGAGACATCTTTAGTTGTCACAGCTGGGAGGTGCTAGTGGCACATGGGGGACAGGGGCCGGGGATCCTGCCTAACATCCTACAGTGCGCAGAGGATCCCCGATCCCCGCCCGCAAATGTCAGTAGTACCGCCTGGAGAAGCCCTGCTCTCTGGCTTGGGTGTTAGGTGTAGTTTGGCTTATCTGCTCTCTTGCTACCTGTGAGTGGCTGTGCCTTCTGAGTCATTGTGTGTTTTGATTTACTTTTGTGTTTTTGTTGGGTTGTCTACTGTGTCTTTCCATTAGAGGAGAACTTGCTCATCCACCCCAAAAACTTTTTTTCAGGATCTATGGCCAAGTGACCTTAGCAGGTCACCTTCTCTTTCTGGACTTCAGTTTTCATTAATTCAACAAGTATCTCTAGCTGCGGGCCTGGCGTTATGCCAAGTCCTGGGAAATTGGCATCTTCAGTGGGGAGACAGGTGACTGAACAGGCAAATCCTGTCACAGAGTCCTCAGGTGCTGTCATAGGGTGACCGCGGAAGCCGTGGAAGCGTGCAGCAGGGCCCTAACGCAGTCAGGGGAGGCTGCCTGGAGGAAGTGGTGTCTGCACTGAAGCCTGAAGGACCCAGGAGGAGCTAGTCAGGCCCAGAGAGCTGGAGGGAAGGCAGAGGGAGCAGCTGAGCCAGGGCAGAGGCGAGGGTGCAGATGAGCAGTCAGGTGTGGCAGGAGTGTGAGCGCCATGCGGGTTGCAGCCAGAGATGAGGTGAGAGAGGCCTGGGAGCCTCAGAGAGGAGGAGAGGCCTTCCTGGCTCACGGTGCTCTCAGGCAGGCTCAGCAGCGGGGGCGGGGACGCGCCCTCCTTTCTGGCCCAACCACGGTTTTCCCAGCGAACACCGGCTGTACAGTAGCTGTGAGGTGTCTCGCGGGTGAGGAGACCGAGGCTCATGGGGTTAGGTTCCTGGTCGAAGGCCACAGAGTTAAGTTTGGGGAGGCAAGACTGGAACCCAGGCCCTTCCGACTTTGGATCCCCCTGTAACACTTGATCTGCCCCTCTCTGTTTTCCAAGGGCTATTTCAAAATCTATCTGTTGTTCTTTTCCTTTTTTCCTTCGAACCGGTGATGGATCCAGGAGAGGGTCCTGTGAGCTTTCGGGCCCCTCCTCAGTCCTTGGCCAGATATCCCCAGTCTCTTCTGTTTCCTAATTACTCCATCCCCTGGGGTTGGACCAGAGCTGCTACCTCCCCTGGGACAGTGTGATCTGGGGTCAGAGGGGGCTGTGCCTGGGGTATCCCCTAACCGGGGGCCCCCTCAGGCTTTCCCGAGCCATGGGAAAGTCCCAGCTCGTTGTCCTGTGTGGCCTTGGCTGGGTCCCTCTCCCTCTTCAGCCTCAGTGGCCTCTTCTCCTGACTGAGTTTCCCACTGCCTACCTTGCTTGGTTCTGCTTCTGTCACATAAACTGGGTCCTGCTCAGGTTATGGGGTTGAGTCGCCGTTACTGTTATCTGGTCCTTGGAATTGGAAGTCCCCCACCCCCTTTCCAGATTTGGCCAAGAGCTGACACTGGGTTGGCGAAAGTTAGAGACAGGGGGCCTTGCCGTTCCTCTGACCCACCAGGTCCTGCAAAGGGCTGGGGGCTGGCCTGCTGGTAGTGGGTTTTCTCCCCTCCTAGGGCTCACCTAGCCCGTGTCCCATTAGAGCTGCCTGTGGGCCTGTGATGGCTGAGGGTAGCAAGGGTCAGCAGGCCTGAGATGGCCTCTCTCAATGTCAGAGCCTCTTTTGAGCCTCAGGGCAGCTCAGGTGGCCGCCTCGGAGGCCCTCCCAGAGGCCTCTGCGCCCTTGACCTCTGCTTCCGGGTGCTCTGGGGCCAGGGTAGGCGAGGAAGGGGTGGCAGATAAAGGATTGGCCCACAGGCTCCCTAGCAGGCAGAGCTGTCTTTGGACAGACGGTGGCAGCAGCAGTAGCAACAGTGACAGTGGTGGTGGCCTGTGGGAGCTGCAGGGAGCCCAGACAGGGGCAGGGGCTGCCACGCTCCTGAGAGGGGCAGCTGATGTTCGAGGCCTGAGAACAACACAGCAAAGCAAGAAACCCGAAGCGATGGTGCAGAGCCGGTGGAGGGAGAGGTAGTTTTCGTTTTTAATGGCTTCCTTTCTCATTTACAGTTTCCCCTTCTTCCGTTTGCAGCCAGAGTCATGGTTTTCAAACCGTTGCTAAAAACCAGTGGTAGTCACTTCCGTTTTCTTGAAGTTTGCTAAAAGTTGCAAAGGGTGGGGGCAGTGGGGTGCGTGGTGCCTGCCAGAGTATTTGAATGACTTGACTCACTCCGGCAAGCAAACGGGGAGTCTTCTGTTTTTAGTGCTGTCCCCCCTGGGGTAGGGGCTGTTCCGTCCCTCCTGCTACAAGTGTCGAGGCTTCTGCGTGGCCTCAGGGACAGACAGGAAGGGCCAACACTTGCCAAGCCCCTGATGTGTCAGGACGACCTGCCTTAACGCGCTCCTTCTCACAACATAGCCCTTCCCAACGGACTGCACCCCCATTTCACAGATGAGGACGCTGGGCTCTGGGACGCCAAGTGCCAGGCCCAGATCACCCTGTTAGAGAGCGAAAATGAAAGCCACCTCTCCTGTCCAATTCCCGGGGCTTCCAGCAAGTTCCGTTAAGTGGGAGGATGGGGTTGATCATCAGGACTCGAGGCTGGAGTGAATTGAGAGTTTGTGGTGGGGGAAAGATTTTTTTCTCTCTTTTTCTCTTTTTGTCTTTTCTTTTCTCCAGTTTTCCTGTATCTGCATCTTCTTCTGTGTGGAGCTTGAGCTCTGACATTTGTAGGGTACCGACCAGCACTGGATTGCATCTGATCATTGCAGCCTCCTCTGATTTTTGGAGGACTGACTTGAGGTTCTCAGTGTTTAAGGGGCTGCCTGGGTTCTGAGACCCCTGGAGTCCACACCACGTGCTTCCCAGCACCCTCCTGTCTTGTTGTGGTGGCCCCCTCTGCTCCCCAGTTCTTTGGAAAGCTAGCTTTGGGAGGGAAGTCCAATCTGCTGTCTGAAGCAGGTGGGGAGGTTGTAGCAGGGGTAGGGGGGTGGGGGCCTTAGCCTGCATCCTCTAACCAGGTGCTTTGGAAGTGGGTGAGTGACCTCAGCTTTGAGAATTTCCGCCTCTAGTTGGGAGAACAGGGCAGGCAGAGTCCTGGTTCTGCCTCCTGCTGCCCGAGGCTCTGCTCCTGCTGGCCCCCTCTCCACTTCTATCAAATGGGAGTAATAACAGTGCTCACCTCCTTGTCTTGATGCGGAAACACGGTGCAGATGACACGGGTACACGGGGATGCTGGCTGGGCCAGTCCCTGCTGTGTCCCTTGCTGTGGACGGTCTACTGAGTTCAGGACGATGATAATGGGGGTGGGAGGGGACCTGTGCGTGCTCCCCAGGGCAGAGCCTTCACGTGCTTTGGCTGTGGGCCAGCTGGCGTCTCGTGAGCTCCGGTGACTTGGATGTAAGGCAGGGCCTGGGCCTGGCCCCTTCATGGCAGCTGTGGCGGCTTTGGTTTTGTTTGTTTTTGTTGAGGTATATTCATATGCCTCACAATTCATCCATCTAAAGCGCACAACTCAGTGGTTTCTGATAGATTCACAGAATTGTGCAACCGTCACCACAGTGGATTTTTTTAGTTGAGGGATAATTACAAATAAAACTGCATACAATTGATTTCAGAACTTTTTTGGGTTTTTTCGGAACATCTTTTTCCTAGAAGGAAGCCCTGTACCCGTTAGCACTCATTCCTCCCCTCAGCTCCTGAAAACCACTGATGTGCTTTCTGTCTCTATGGAGTTGCCTCTTGTGGACATTTCATGTGAAGGGAGTCATACATGTGGTCCTTGGTGACTGGCTTTGTTCTTTTGATTTAGGCGGCCTTTTGACCTCTCTGGTCTCCTTATCCCCAAGCGAAAGTCCCCCACGTAGAAAGAGGTGGTGCTCTCACCCTGTGGGGCTCTTTGCTTGCTTCTCACGGCCTGGGTGGCGGCCGCCCCTGGAGATGATCTGGTCCCAGGTCCACCCAGCTCAGGAAACCTGCCCCACCCCACCCTGCCATCAGTGCCTCAGGACTGGTGAGTCACCTTTGCCAAGCCTTCGTTTTCTCACCTGTGGCCTGGGCCCTGTCACACACCCGTCATCAAGTCAGGGAGGACATGTGGAAAAGTCCCCCGGGGAGGTCTAGGCTCTGGGCAAGAGTAGGAGTTGCCCATGTGCAGTGGGGAGCACTGTTTGATTTCCTTTTGAAGCAGTCGTCCTCACTCAACGTGGGACACTCTCTCAGCCCCTGGTGCAGCCCGCTCTCTTTCGTCCCCTCCTCGGCCTGCTCTGGTAGGTCCCCCCATCTTGTGATTGTGGTTTAGAGAGCCCCTAAGTATGGCTGGGGGGAAAAGGGGGCAGGATTCCCTTCACTGATGCCCTGACAGGTGTGTCAGCCTCCTGCCCCTGGGGGGATCTCAGGGAGGATGCAGTAGTTTGCAGATGGGGGTGTTTTTCAGCAAATATTTCCGAGCACGTAAATTTCTGAGTGTGTATCACATGCCAGATTCTGTGCTAGGTGCTGTCTCTGGGTGCTCACGGCAGCCTAGTGAGGAAGGTTCTGTCTGGGTTGTCCATCATCCAGTCAGGGCACGTGTGTCATTGTGTGTGACAGTGTAAGTGCCAGGCACGTCGGAATGCATGTCACAGAACCACTGTACTGAGGTTTGGCCAGGGGACTGCTTTGGCCCCTCTGGGGGGTGAACACTTGACAGGAGACCCAAAGGATGAGAAGGAGCCAGTTATGGGGACATCCTAGCAAGTGCTGAGGAGAACCCAGGCTGGTGCGTTCTGGAAACAGAAAGGTCAATGTGGCTGGAGCAGGCGAGGAACCGTGGTGTAAGAGAGGCCAGAGGAGCCAGCTCATGGGGGCTTGTCGGCCAGGGCGGGGTTTAGAGGTTTCTGAGAGCGGTGAGAAGCCAGTGGGGTCCCGAGCACAGACACGGTGTGATTTTCATTTCAGCAAGCTCTGTCTGCTGCCTGCAGAATGGGATGTAGAGAGGCGCAGGGGAGGCTGGGAGAGATGAGGGGCCTGGTCAGGGTGGTGGCTGTGCAGGTTGAGAGAAGGGGGGTTGGGTTTTAGTTATGCTTTTGTGGGAGGGTCTGCGGTGCCTGGATCTGGACAGGGAGGACTCGAGGAAGCCCCTGGATTTCTGGTGGCTCTCCCAGCAGCTGAGTGTCATACAGCTGGTGAGTGATGGGCGGGGTGTGCTGGCTCACCAAGCTGTGGAGGGCCTCGGCCCAGCTTCCTCCCAGAGTTCAAAGGTGTCTCCTGAGTAAGCACTGGACTTGAAGCTTAGTGTCCTGCCAAGCCTCCCTGGGGACCAGGAAGGAGCCAGCCTTCAGCTCCCTGGAAGTGTCAGCCAGCGAGAGCTGGGTCAGGGACAGCCGTAGCCAGGGCAGAGCCATTGCTGGTACAGACTCCGCCTGAGCCCACCCATTCGTTCTGTAGGGCTTTATTGGCGGGCTGAGCTTCAGAGAACAGGACAAGGCTCCTGCGCCCTGGGAGTTGATCTCCTGCGGGCTTGGGCACCAGCTCACAGCTCACCAGCCCCCAGCCCTAGGGTTGGGAAGTTACCTTGGTGCACGTCAGGTTCCTCACTTGTAAATTGGGGCCAGCAATGCCTGCCTTGGGGGAGTTGTTAGAGTGGGTTGCGATGATGGCCGTGTAGTCCTGAGGATGATGCTGGCGCCGCAGCCCACATGGTTTATCGACATCGTGTGTCTAGTATGTTGTCCAGGGATTGCCCAGCATTCATGGGACCAGGGAGGCCTAGACGTCCAGCACGGTGCTGAGGGCATCAGCCTCATGCAGGGACCTTCTCAGGAGGGTCTGCGGGCTGTGAAGGAGCTGCACCCCGAAATGGAAGCCCTGGGAACACGTGGGTCGGAGCTCGCTCCAGGAGAGAGTTGTGCTGAGGAAGGCAGCCTGGGCTCTGCCAGCACATGGAGGTTGGCCCAGGGGACAGGCAGTCGTGAGAGCCTGGGGCAGGCTTGGCAGGACTGCAGCAGCGCCCAGGGAGTGGGAGGTCCTGGGGGGAGGGTGGGGTCAGCCAGAGTCTGGTGCAGGGGGCACAAGGCCCTTAGGGTGTTGAACGTGGAGACCAGGGGAGCCATGGCAGGGTTTTGGCTGGAAGGGAACACGAGGCACTCCTGTTTGTGTTTTAGAAAAGCTGCCAGGGTCGGGGTGGGGTGCGTAGGAGGGCTAAGGGGGCGAGTCCTTGCATGCCGTGGTTTAGGAGCCCATGAGGCCTGTGCGAGTGGGGGCTCTTGAGGGCCCTCTCAGGGCCTGGTGTCTGCTGCCTTCCTTCACAGTCCTCTTTCCTCCTGGCTGTCCCTGCGCCCAGGGCTCTTCCTGTGTTCCACCTCCAGGCGTGGTTGGCCAGGGCTTAGGAACATGAGTCCCATCAGGATTGTTGTAGATTTGGAGCCATTTGTTCCCGTCAGGGCTGGAAGGTCACCCTGGGGGCAGGGAGGATGAGTGAGGAGCCGAGGGAGGCTCCTGTGGACGCTAGAGGCTGGAGGCTGGACGAAGAGCTGAGGTGCCCAGGAGGGGGCGTCCTGGCCTCTCCGTCTGACCTCAGTGGCCTCTGCCCCAGGTGGTCTTCAGGAGGCAGGAAACAAATGTGAGCTCCGGGCAGCGCCTGCGCCGTGCTAAGGAGCCCCCATCTTACCTGGGCATGGGCTGCCTGTCATGTGGTGGGGTGACAGGCCTTCAGAAGGGGGCTGTGAGTTAAGGGGCCGTGGATACAGTGCCTGGTACACACAGTGCACACATGGAGCCGGGATGAGTGGCTTTGGGAGCCTAGCGGTGAGCAGAGTGGGTCTGCAACTGGGTGGTCTGGACTGGAGTGGCTGAGAGCGTCCGTGTCTGGGAGCTCAGACCCGCTTGGCACCTCAAGAGCGCTCCACATGAGATGCTCCTAACGCCAGTTAGCTGCCTGTGCCAGGGTGGGATGAGCTGCAGTGGGGCATGCCAGGTCTTGAGCGCCAGCCGGGGCGCCATCCTCCTGGTGGTGGGAGCCGTCCCTGTCCTCCTCCCCACTGAAACAGTTACCCTGGCCTGGTTCCTTTGGGCCCCAGGCAGTGACTGTTCTGGGAGCCCCCCCTTTCCTCTTCCCTGTCCTGGGCGCTGGGTGGGGAGAGGGGGGTTGGGATGTGTTTGTGTGTGTGTATGTAGCATCCAGGCAACGGCCACAGCCTGGAGACGGTGCACACTTCCCTCTCTGCCCTGCTGCTGCCCCACGCCCTGTGTGTGGCAGGGTGATTGGATGGGCTGGATGGCAGTCGCACACTGGTGGTCATGGGGCGTTTGAATTTCTTCAGCAAATACAGATTGAAGCCAGTCCGATGGCAGGGGTTCCGGGATGAGCATAGCTCTGGCCCCACCCCTGGACGTCCCTGCCCATATGTGGGGACAGGACCATGGTCGCTCTGTGTACAGCCTCAGGGCTCTCTCTCCCAGGCCCTGTGTGTGGTCCACACCTGGGGGCCTTCACTGGCCCGGGGCTGAGGGGTGGGCAGGACAGTTGGCCTCAGGTGTGAAGTGACCCCTGAACCACAGGGCAGCCCTTGCAAGCTGTCAAGGTTGTTTGGGCCAGAGGCAGCTGGGAGATGGAGGAAGGAGGGAGGGCTGGAGAAGTCAGGGGCTGGTACTGTCCTGGTGGGCCCATCAGAGCCCAGTGGGTGACAGCCTCTGCCCGCAGGGCGCCATGTTTTGGAAGTTTGACCTGCACACGAGCTCGCATCTCGACACGCTACTGGAGCGGGAGGACCTGAGCCTGCCCGAGCTGCTGGATGAGGAGGACGTGCTGCAGGAGTGCAAGGTCGTCAACCGCAAGCTGCTGGACTTCCTGCTGCAGCCGCCGCACCTGCAGGCCATGGTGGCCTGGGTCACCCAGGAGCCACCAGCCAGTGGCGAGGAGCGGCTGCGCTACAAGTGAGTTCCCGTCCTGTTCTGTCCCCAGCACCGCCCTCCGAGTTGCCCCTGTGGTCACAGACAGCCGCCCCGACTTGCTGTTGATGTCACTGACTCCCGTGTGGGGACGAGGAAATCAGGGAGGGACAGCCCTCCAGATGCAGCTTCTTAGAAGTGTCTTTGTTATGAGGTTTCCAGACACACCCACGGGGAGGGACGGGTGGGATGGACCCGTGGGCCCTCACCGGCCTTCACGGGGGCAGTGCTCGGGCCGGCCCGTTTCCTCGGCCGCAACCCCACACCCCATTTTTCCTGGTATTTTTCTTCAATTGCATTTTTGCCGATATGACCGTAGAGTCACATGCAGTTGTAAGAGAGAATACAGAGTTCTCTGTATACTCTGCCTGGTTTCCCCCAGTGGTGACATTTTGTAAAATATAGTATATATGGTGTCAGAACCAGGACAATGTTGGTTATCCTCTGGGATGCCCGCAGGCCCTGGTGTGGTTTAAAGCAAATCTCCTAATTCCAGACAGCGTCTCTTTACCGGTGATCCTCTTGTTAACTTTCCTTTCTGGAGCATGAGCGGCAGGAGCGCTTCACCCCCAGGTCCCCTGTGCCCAGCACGGGCCAGTGCAGAGGGTGTGGCAATGGGCAGAGTGGGCCTGGGCCGTAGGTGGCCACGTGCTCTCCTCTGCGCTCTCTCCCACCCGCCCTCCTTTGCCCTCTGCCCCTAGTCACTCTGCGGGTGCTCAGGGCCCTCGGGTGTTGGGGAGGGTGGGTGCACTCCAGGTGCTGGTGGTGGCGTGAGGCAGGATGAGGCTGGCAGGGCCCTTTTGGGGGGGCTTGATTGGAATCGTCTCCATAACTGGGGGCTTTTGTCTGCCCTGGTGTCCAGTGCCCTTCTCAGCACAATCCGTCACAGACATGGACTCCCTTCCTGACCCCATTCTCCAGTGCTGCCCTCTGCCCAGCCTGCTGTGCTGTGCATGGTGTGCACACAGTCCTTACCACACTCTGCGTCTCTGTCCCCAGAGGCCTCGAGCCAGACGGAGCATGGGTTTGTCCTTTGTAAAGGTGTGTGCCAGCTGTTCAGTGCAGGCCTGGCACACAGTGGGCACCTCTGGCAGGGCCAGCAGAGTGTCCCTGGTGTCCCTCTGATGTCGGTCTGTCCATCAGATACCCGCCCCCATGTGTCCTCTGCCTATTTTGCTCTGACCTCTGTCCCCCATCCACCTTCACTCGAGCATGTCCAGTGGCCCCGTGCACTGGGCTCACAGGAGCAGGGAGACGCTGAGGGAGCCTCCATTTTGACATCTGCCTCCTGCAGCCCATGGGGTCCCTGCCCTGCCCCAAGGAACCCACTTACAAGGGAAGGAGGCACACTTGGGGGCCCCTGCAGTGTACAGGGCAGGCCTGCAGTGAGTTGTGGTCCCCCGGGGCCCTGGGTGGCACACTGGGCAGAGTGGCCCTCATGCTGTGGGTTGTCGGGCACCATGTGAGTGTGTGGAGGAGGGAGAGGGTGAGGTTGGATTTTAGAAAGGTCACGGGGCGGGAGGGCACGGGGAGCACACCAGGATGGGCTAGAGGGTCGGAGGTGGAGCTGGGGAGTTGGAGGGAAGGGTGTTGTTGAAGGAGGTCGGGTTCGGGTTCAGGAGGTTGCCTTAGTGACAGTGGGGAGCCATGGATGGGTTCTGACAGGGAGGAGCGGTGAGGAAGGCCCCTCTGGCCTCCGTCCAGGCAGGCCCTTCCCAGCCTCTGCCCTTCTTCTCTGGATGTGACGGCCCTCCCCTGACAGGTACCCCAGCGTGGCCTGTGAGATCCTGACCTCTGACGTGCCCCAGATCAACGACGCATTGGGCGCGGACGAGTCCCTCCTGAACCGGCTCTACGGCTTTCTGCAGAGCAGCGGCAGCCTCAACCCGCTGCTGGCCAGCTTCTTCAGCAAGGTCATGGGCATCCTCATCAACCGCAAGACGGACCAGGTGCCTGCAGTCCCATGCACCCCAGGTGGGAGGATGCGGGCCAGGTCCTGCGGCCTGACGTGCCCCGTTCCCCGTGTCCCCCAGCTTGTGTCCTTCCTGCGGAAGAAGGACGACTTCGTGGACCTGCTGCTGCAGCACATCGGCACCTCGGCCATCATGGACCTCCTGCTGCGTCTCCTCACCTGTGTGGAGCGGCCACAGCTGAGGCAGGAAGTTGTCACTGTAAGCTGGGGCGAGGTGGGGAGGGGAGGGGCTGAGGAGACGGGGTCAGTGAGTGGAGCCCTGCCTTCTCACCCCCAGTGGCTCAATGAGGAGAAGATTGTCCAGCGGCTCATCGAGCAGATCCACCCCTCGAAAGATGACAATGTGAGTGTGGCCCTGCCTGCCGCTGTGTGCGTGCCCTGCCAGTCACCCACGGACAGCACGCCTGCTAAGAATAGAAAAGGGGTTTTACACACATGGAACGTTTCTCATGAACCAAGAAGCTGGCCCTTCATCCCTCTGGTGTCACGGCTCTGATGAGGGTCCTCTGACTCCAGGCTCTGTCCCTGGCCCGCTCCCTGCCACCTTTCCGTCCACTTCTGACTCTGTGGCCTGGCGACTCTTCCTGTGTCTTGTGCATAGACAAGCCCGCTTGTCCTTCAGAGAACCCACCCAGAGGCCCGGATCCTCACTGACCTCTCGGGGGGTCACGCCTTGTCTGTTTTTCTGGCCCACTGGCTTGCAGAGCGCTGGGAGGTCCATAGGCGCAGGTAGTCAGCACCTGGCACCCAAGCAGTGCCGTCCCAGGAGAGTGATGACTGTCTAGGCCTCTGGCAGAGGGACGAGGGGTGGGTGCTGTGAGCCAGGTGGCAGGGCTCCCGTGATGGGCTCTGAAGTGCAGCCCATGGCCTGGCTGGCTCTGAGGTCTGCGCAGGTCCAGGGTCTGCGTGGGTCCGGGGTCTGTGTGGGTGGGCCCTGGCAGCTGTGTGTTGGGTTAGACTTCTCTCTTTATTTTGGTAACAGCTTTAATTGAGAGATAAATTACTACCGTTCAGCTCATCCATTTAAAATACAGGATTTGGTGGCTTTTAGTATATTTACAGAGTTGTGCAGCCATCACCATGTCCATTTTAGGTTGTTTCTCACCACTCCGGAAAGGAAACTCTGTGCCCATTCGCCGTCCCTCCCCGTTCCCCTCGTGGTCCCCCAGCCCCGGCAGCCACCTCTCTGCTTTCCGTCTCCGGGTTTGCCTCTTCTGGACAGCTTGTATAAACGGAGTCACAATACATGGTTTCCCATGCCTGGCTTTTGTCTTAGCGCCAGGTTTTCTGTGTTCAGCCATGTTGTAGCACGTTATTAGTGCTTTTCCCCTTTGTAAGGCTGGAGGACGTTCACCAGTTCGTGGATGTCTGGGTTGTTCCCCCCTTCGGCTGCTGTGAGCGATGCAGGGTTTGCCTGGCATGTCTCCTTTTCCGAGAAGCCTTCCATGGTTTCCCTTTCTGCCCACTGTCTCTCCCCTCTCAGTGTTCGGTGCCTGGTGCTCCCTCCCTTGGCACTTGTGTCCCTGTCTCTGTTCCATCCTCTGTCCCTAAGGGCTGGGACCGGGTGGTCATCTCATGAGGTTCCCAACAGCAGAACCAGGCCGGGCCAGGGTCCTCAGCTCTCTCTACTTCTCCAGCAACATTCCAATGCGTCCCAGTCCCTGTGCGACATCATCCGCCTGAGCCGGGAGCAGATGATCCAGGTCCAGGACAGCCCGGAGCCCGACCAGCTATTGGCCACCCTGGAGAAGTGGGTTTGCAGGGTGGTGCCCAGGCCCAGGGAGGGGAGCCATCCTTTGGGGGGCCCTGGGTCCTGAGCCCCCCACTCTGACCCCCTGCTGGACCTTCTCCAGGCAGGAGACGATTGAGCAGCTCTTGAGCAACATGTTGGAGGGGGAGCAGAGCCAGTCTGTCATTGTCAGCGGGATCCAGGTGCTGCTGACCCTGCTGGAGCCCAGAAGGCCGAGGTGAGGGGGTGTGGCCTATCTGGGCAGCTCTGTGACCCCTCAGATCCCTGCCCTTCCATTCAGGGAGTGAAAGCTGTTGAGACAGAGCCACCATGAGTGGTGTCTCCTTCATGATGGTCTTACGGTCCTTGGAGAGGAGTCCTCCCATTCCTGTCTGATAGCCGAGGAAGCAGGCTGTGTGGACAGCCTGTAGCTTCGAGCCAGCTGTCAGAATCCGAGACCCTTTGGGCAGGCCTCCCTACAAGGCAGTGGGGACTTCTACCCCAGGGTCCCAGGTGCCCACCCACACCTGGGCGCCTCTTCCGTCACTGCCCTGTGTGTCCCAACTGGAAGGGCTCCCGAGGGTGCAGCTTCTTACTCCCTTCCACATGTCCTCCACATGCACACGTGCATGCACAGGCACACACACGCATGCGCACAGGCTGTCTGGGCAGCTCACTCTGCCCTTCATGCTCTTCTCTGTGGCAGGTCTGAGTCTGTGACCGTGAACAACTTCTTTAGCAGCGTGGATGGACAGCTGGAGCTCCTGGCCCAGGTGACCCTGGACAGCTCCGTGTCCAGTGTGGGTACCCTGCACGCCCTACGCCCACGGCTCAGCTGCTTCCACCAGCTCCTGCTCGAGCCACCCGAGGTGGGCTGCGTGGGCTGGGGAGCCAGGGGGTGGGGAGCAGCCCTGCAGTCCTGGGCAACGCCGGGCTGGGAACTGAGCCTCCCCTACTCCCGCAGTTGGAGCCGCTGCGTACGACGTGGGGCAGCCTGGCCCCGCCGCTGGGAAACATGCGCCTGCATGTGGTCAAGCTGCTGGCCAGCGCCCTGAGCGCCAACGATGCAGCCCTGACCCAGGAGCTCCTGGCACTGGATGTGCCCAACACCATGCTGGTGCGGGGGACGGGGAGGGTGTATGGGTGGATGGGGGGGATGGCTGAAGGGCGAGGTTGGGGATGGGCTGGGGACCGGGGAGGGATGGAGGCGGCTGTGGCCCGGGGCGGGGAACCGGGCCTCTCATTGCAGCTGTGCCCTCCAGGACCTCTTCTTCCACTACGTGTTCAACAATTTCCTGCATGCCCAAGTGGAGGTGTGTGTGAGCGCCATGCTGAGCTCCAGGCCCCCTTCCGACAGCAGCCCCGAGACGCCTGCCTCCAACCCCGTCGTGAAACACGTGAGCTGGGGCTCCCCCTCGGTCCTTCTGGGTGAGCTCTGCCGCAGGCCTGACCCTCACCTGTCACACAGTCATTCCTTCTGGACAATTCATAGGCTGGGGGCTTGTCCTTGTTCTTGGGGTGTGTCTGGGAGAAACAGAGGGTGTCTTGTGGGGAATTAGGTGGACACAGTGACCTGAGAAAGCAGTGAGTGTCCTGGGGGACGGAGGGGAGGCCTCTCCCGGGGTGACGGCTGCCGTGGTGGGTGGGGTGCCTCCCTGGACGTAGCCTGGCACTCGGAGGAGCTGTCCAGTGGAGGTGTTGGATTTGGATGAGCGGGAGTGGGAAGCAGTGGAGTGACTTAGGGGTTTGTTGACTGGACTGAGCGGGAATATGGGCAGAGGACGTTTCTGGGTGAGCAGAGGGGGCTGTGCAGGGAAGGAGGGGCAGTGCATGTGCGTGGGAGTGTGTGCAAGGGCGCGACACACGCTCCTCACAGAAAGACCAGAGGCTTGGGTGCCTGGCCAGGGTGGTGGGGCCCAGCCTCTGTCCCTGCCTTCTCTGCGGAGGCGGCTGAGGCTGCAGGCGCTGCCCCCGCCCACGTCGGCCCTCCCTGCTCTCGCAGCTGCTGCAGCAGTGCCGCCTGGTGGAGCGCATCCTGACCTCCTGGGAGGAGAACGAGCGTGTGCAGTGAGCATCCGCTGGCCTTCCTGCCCCAGGGGAGGGCAGGCGGGGGAGGACCTGGCAGTGGGGAGGACGGGCAGGGTCATGGGGCACATGCAGCCTTGTCCAGCTGTGGCCTCCATGTTTACCCAGGTCCGGAGGGGGCCCACGGAAAGGCTACATGGGCCACCTGACAAGGGTGGCCAACGCCCTGGTACAGAACGTGGAGAAGGGACCCAACGCCGAGCAGTTGGGGCAGCTGCTGAAGGGTGAGGGCCAGGGCTCGCCCCCAGGGTGGAGTGGGTAGGGGCCGAGGGGGCGCCTCATGTGCTCGTCTCCTCCCCTGTGAGCAGAGCTGCCAGGCGAGCAGCAGGAGCAGTGGGAGGCGTTCGTGTCGGGACCCCTGGCGGAGACCAACAAGAAGAACATGGTGGACCTGGTGAGGGCCTGCTGTGCCCGGCGCACTCCCAGCCCATCTCTGCTGCTGGGCCTGCCTCTAGCACGTTCCCACTTCGTCCCTCTTCTGGTTCTCTCCCTCCTCATCCAGTCTCAGCCTCCCTCTCCCCACAGCCCCATCCTTGCCCTAGTCCTCCTCTGGGGGGCTCCACAGGCCCTGACACCCCGCCTGCCTGCACACCCCAGGTGAACACCCACCACCTGCACTCCTCCAGCGATGACGAGGATGACCGGCTCAAGGAGTTCAATTTCCCTGAGGAGGCTGTGCTGCAGCAGGTGCGGGGCTGGTGGGCTGGTGGGGGGGTCTGGCCCTGCCCAGCCCCTGACTGCTGCCCCCTCTGCAGGCCTTCATGGATTTCCAGATGCAACGTATGACCTCAGCCTTCATTGACCACTTCGGCTTCAACGACGAGGAGTTTGGGGAGCAGGAGGAAAGTGTGAAGTGAGTGTGCCCCTCTGTGTGGGATCAGCTGCAGGCAGGGGCGCTGGGAGGGGACCTGAGACAGCAGATCAGAAAGCAGGTGCTCACCTGCTGTGTGACTTCTTCCACCATCCTTTCCTGTCCCCACTGTCCACCTGCTGCCCATGCAGCCCAATGCCTAGGGTTTGTCCTACCCCAGCCTCCATCAGGCTCAGCCTGGAGGGTGGCCAGCCTCAGACCCCTCTTGGGGTTCCTCCTTGGGGGCCTAGTGGGAAGTGTGTGGGGGCTCTGGGACTCAGGCACCGGCTGTGTGCAGAGCTGGGCCATGTGGGGTGCGACCACTCCTCCACCCCCTCCAAAGGCCTTGGGGTGACAGGAGAGATTTTTTTTCGCTGACCAGTTTTGCTTATTCGTATTTGTTGCACAACAACATTTTAACATCGATCATCTCTGATGTCGTGGTCATGAACTTCTCTGTCTTCTGAATTTTCTGCCGCAGCTGCCTCTTATTTTTACAGTCAGAGTAAAAAATTAAAACTTTCTAGCATTTTGTAAATTGCCTGAGCAATCTTACGACAGCAGCAGGTAGGGAGTGAAGGCCAGGGCAGGTGCCCGGGTGAGTCTGGAGGAGAGACTGGGTCAGGCCGGGAGCTGAGCAGCCGGCTGTGGCCCCTTCACCACCCACCTGACCAGGGGCCTTGGACTGGAGCCTGGTTCTGCCGCTGCCCACCACTGGCCCAGGGCAGGTCGCTTGTGCAGGCCTGGGTCTCCTTGTGTACACTGCGGGGCTGAGGGGCCCTGTGAGGCCCTGAGTGAAGCGTTTGGTGAATACTGCCTTGTGCCGTCTGGGCAGAAGAGGTGACTTTTGAAGAACAAATCCGCGTTGCCCTAGGAGAAGTGGAACAGCTACCAGAGAGCATGACATGGAGGTGTCCCTGGGCCAGAAGTTGGGGCAAGCAGATGAGAAAGGCCCAATTAGCCCCTAGGGGCTGGCAGGGGGTAGCCAGTGGGTGGGGGCAGGGAAAGGAAGGAGGGACCTCGGCCACGCGCGTGTTGTTGAGGGACGGCTGAGCTGGGGTGCCTGCCCGCGTCCAAGTCCTCCCCGCAGTGCACCGGATGCCCCTTGGGTGTTACCCTGTTACGTGCTCTGCCCACCCCTCTGCGCAGGGCTTGGGAGCCCCTTTACCGCCAGGGAGCCTGAAGCGCAGAGCTCTCACTTTTCCTAGGACAGTGGCTCGTCATCCTCGTGTGCTGTAGTGTGAGGGTTGGCTGTGGCCTGTCCTGCCCACAGCCCAACAGAGGTCACCTTAGATGCAGACGTGAGATCTGTGTTTGCTGCCACTCTGCCCAGCACGGCGCGCAGCACTAGGAGGCCTCGGCAGCGCTGTCACTGATTCGAAGGCCTGAGAACCCCAGAGGAGACGCTGACCTAAGCCGGGACCCAGCCCTGTCCTGGCCGGGAGAAGGACCGACTGCTCCGTAAATGACGTTGGGACGATGGGCTGCCCTTTGACAGTGACTTCGGCTGTCAAGATCAATTGCAGTGGGATTAAAAACTTTAAATGTAAAACACACCTAAAGCCGCAAAGCATTCTAGAATGGAAAATGGATGAACGTTTCTGTAACCTCAGGGACGAAGATGCTGCGCTGCAGGGCTCCGGTTGCTGGAGTTGCCTGCCCCACCTGCTCCAGCTGTGCAGCGCATGGGCCTCCCGCCCTGTTCTCGGTTTCTGTCTGTTTCGAGGAAATGAGGATGCCCGGGCTGGTTGTGAGAACGACGTGTGTGAGGACGTCTGTCACGTGCTTGGTGCTGTGTCTGGCGCTGAGGCGGCACTCAGGACTCGTTAACGTGCAGTTGTCTGCTGGTCTTCGGGGCCAAGTATTTCCTGAGTTGGAGAGACAGATGACAACCTGGGTGGGGAGTATACCGAACGTGTGGGACGGAGCCGGGACCTGCGTGGAGACGGGAAGGGCTCTTTCCTCGGAACAGGAGAAAGGGCGTGAGGGACGCAAACGAAACAAGTAGGAGGCCGTCGAAAAGTTGCAGGTTCTGTCGGCAGGAGTATAAATTGTCAAATCCTGTTCAGCAGTTGGTGTCGGTGTTTAAAACGCGTGGATTTAATTTATTAGTTCAGAACTTGCCTTTCTCTGAGGCTTTCTGAAAGAGAGAGAATTGAGCAGAGCTGGCTGTAGGCCGATGTTTAGGTCGTTTTGTTGTTGATGGGAAGGTTGGAGGTAGGGCTGTGTTCCCGGTGTGTTGGTTCCTGCCGCTGTTCTCCTGGGATAATCAGGCCCCGGCTGGTTTCTGCCCTCGGGGGTCAGGGTGCCCAGGCAGGAGCATTTTGTTTCAGCTCCAAAGGTGATTCTTTGGCCATGGTTTAAGAATCCCAGCCCCAGACTGAGCGTCTTGGGGCCGGGGGCGTGCTTCGTGTGGCGAGGCTCGGCGCTGGGCCGCGTAGGTTTCTGCTGAATCGGTGAGCAGTGTCTGGGCGCTTTGCTCCTGCCGGTCAGTCCACTCACCTGCTCTGCATGTCCTCGTTAGAAAAGACGACAGCTGCCCTGATTCGGGTCGGTGGAAAGGTCTCCTTTACACTCTGCTTTCTTTGGGGTTTACTTCAATTGCCTGTGGCTCTTGGTGTAGCGAGAGGCCTAGCTGGTGCGGGACAGGATAAGTGCTTGGTAAGCGGGCGTTCCCTTCTCCTCCTGCGCTGCGGCTGTGTGCGAGACAGTCGCCGTGAACACTGAACCATCGCTCCTGGGAAAGTGTGGGCCTGTATATAAACACCTCAACCACATCACAATCTTAGATCCTGAAAACAACTTGTCCAGGTAGGTTCTATTTCCTTTGTTTTACGACATAGGAAACAAGGTTCACAAGTGTTCAGTGACCTGCTTGGGCCACCCCACTAGCACGTGCCTGAGTTCGGATTCAAACCCTGTCCAGCCAGAGCCGTGGGTCCCCTTGGGCGTCCCTGTGCAGGAGGCGGGTGTGTCCGTGTTGGACCTCAGCTGGGAATGTGCACGTCCAGCGACTAATTTTTCACTGCTCTGCAGACATCCATAAATGACCAGAATGCACTGCGAGTCTTGATTTGGGGTTCCAGATCAATTTCAGCAAGTGGGTGATTTTGCAGATACGGAACCTGCGAACAGGGTGGAAGTTGAGTGAATGAAGGAGCAGCAGGAGGCAGCCTCCTCTCATGCCGTACCCACCCGTGTGCCTCCCCTCTGATTGCTCCCGTGCTTCCCTCCTAGTGCGCCTTTTGACAAGACGGCCAATATCACCTTCTCCCTCAATGCTGACGACGAGAACGTGAGTGCTGCCCTGTCCTCTGGTGGTGGCGTGGGGCTGCGGGCAGCGCAGCCCACCCACCCTCCTGCCCCTGCGCCCCACAGCCCAACGCCAACCTGCTCGAGATATGCTACAAGGACCGGATCCAGCAGTTTGATGACGATGAGGAGGAGGAGGATGAGGAAGAGGGTCAGGGCTCCGGGGACTCCGATGGGGAGGACGGCGCCTGGCAGGGCAGCCAGCTGACCCGGGGGTCCCGCCTGGGCCAGTCCCCAGGCGTGCGGTGAGTCCCCCTCACGTCTGCCCAGCACGGTCGGGCTGCAGGGCCCACATGAGAAGGTTTTCACACTGGGACTCAATGAGAAGAGTAAGGAGAGTGTAGTGTGTGTAATACTGGGGCCTTCAGTTTTGAGTGATAAAAACCTGGTTCAGATGAGTTCAACTACAAAAAGAATGGGACAATAGCTTTTGTGTGACTGGAAAAACAGGCATGTCCTTCAGGTACAGCTTGGTTCAGGAGCATCTAGAACCAGTATCTCCCCTCTACCCCTCGACTCTGCTCTCCCTTCTGGCAGCTTTCTTGCAGGTGTTCCTGAAAAAGCTGTGAGATGGTCCCATCAGCTTTCTCCCCTGATGCCAGAAAGATGAGCAGTGATGGTTGGCCCTCCCTCACAGGCCAAATGGGAGGGTCAGCAAGCTGTGACCAGCTCTTTGTACAAACGTTAACATTATTTTTCTCTAGTACTGGCTGGTCGCAGAATCACTGACTAAGTGGATTTGTCCTCGTAGATTTGCCAGCATGAACACCAACTCCGGGCTTGTAATTCTGAGCCGTGCTGTGGGGGCTTGTGATTTGAGGATTGGAGTGTTTTAACTTTCCTTTTTAAAAAATTATTGTATTGAGGTCGTATTGGTTTATAACATTGTGTTCTTTCGGGTGTACATTATTATATGTCAGTTTCTGTATAGACTGCATCATGCTCACCACCAGTAGTCACCACACATATGTGCCCCTCTACCCCTTTCACATACCCCGCAACCCCCTTCCCCTCTGGTTCTGTTCTGTTTATCCATGTGTTTGTTTATCTTCCACATATGAGTGAAATCTTGTGCTTTTTTTTTTTTTTTTGCTTTTTCTCCCCAAATCCCCCCTGGTACATAGTTGTATATTTTAGTTGTGGGTCCTTCTAGTTGTGGCATGTGGGACGCTGCCTCAGCATGGCCTGATGAGCGATGCCGTGTTCAGGATCCAAACCTGCAAAACCCTGGGCCAGCGAAGCGGAGCGCGTGAACTTAACCACTCGGCTAAGGGGCCGGTCCCCACATATGGCACTTGTCTTTCTCTGCCTGGCTTATTTCACTTAACATAATACCCTGGATGTCCATCCATGCTGTTGCAAATGGGACGATTTTGTCTTTTTTATGACTGAGTAGTATTCCGTTGTATATATATATACCACATCTCTATCCATTCATCAGTTGATGGGCACTTAGGTTGCTTTCACATCTTGGCTATTGTGACCAATGCTGCAGTGAACACAGGGGTGCATAAATCTTTTTGTGTTGTTGATTTCAAGTTCTTTGGATAGATACCCAGTAGTGGGATAGCTGGATCGTATGGTATTTCTACTTTTAATTTTTTGAGAAATCTCCATATTGTTTTCCATAGTGGCTGCACCAGTTTGCATTCCCATAAGTAATGTAAGAAGGTTCCCTTTTGTCCACATCCTCTCCAACGTTTGTTGTTTTTCTCTTGGTAATTATAGCCATTCTGACTGGTGTAAGGTGATGGCTCATTGTAGTTTTGATTTGCATTTCCCTAATGATTAGTGATGTTGAGCATCTTTTCATGTGCCTGTTGGTCATCGTATATCTTCTTTGGAAAAATGTCTCTTCAAATCCTCTGCCCATTTTTTGATTGGGTTGTTTTTTTGTTACTGAGTTGTATGAGGTCTTCATATATTTTAGAAATTAACCCCTTGTCAGATATGTGATTTGCAATATTTTCTCCCAGTTGGTGGGTTGTCTTTCCATTTTGTTCAGTTTCCTTTGCCTTGCAGAGGTTTTTAGTCTGATATACTCCCATTTGTTTATTTTTTTCTTTTGTTTCCTTTGCATGAGTAGACATGGTATTCAAAAAGACGCTGCTAAGACTTTAGCACCATCGGACTATATTGCCTGTATTTTCTAATAGGAGTTTTATGTTTTCAGGTCTTACATTCAGGTCTTTAATCCATTTTGAGTTGATTTTTGTGCGTGGTGTAAGACAGTGGTCTACTTTCATTCTTTTGCATGTGCCTGTCCAGTTTTCCCAACACCATTTATTGAAGAGACTTTCCTTTCTCCATTGTATGTTCTTGGCTCCTTTGTCAAAGATTAACTGTCCATAGATCTGTGGTTTTATAGTTCTTTTTTGTTTTGTTTTGTTTAAGAGTATGCTTTTTTTGGTGAGGAAGATTGGCAGATTGTCCCTGAGCTAATATCTATTGCCAATCTTCCTCTTCCTTTTTTTTCTCCCCAAAGCCCTAGTACATAGTTGTATATCCTAGTTGTAAGTCATTCTAGTTCTTCTGTGTGGGATGTCACCACAGCACAGCTTGATGAGCAATGTGTAGGTCTGTACCCAGGATCTGAACTGGCGAACCCCAGGCGGCAGACGCACAGCATGCAAACTTAACCACTCGGCCATGGGGCTGGCCCCGGATGTGTGGATTTATTTTTGGGCTTTCAGTTCTGTTCCATTGATCTGTATGTCTCTTTATGTGCTAGCACCATGCTGTTTTGGTTACTATAGCTTTGTAGCACATTTTGAATTCAGGGATTGTGATGCCTCCAGCTTTGTTCTTTTTTCTCAGGATTGCTTTGGCTATTTGGGGTCTTTTGTTGTTCCATATAAATTTTAGGATTCTCTGTTCTACTTCCATGAAGCATGTCATTGGGATTGGGATTGCTTTGAATCTGTAGACTGCTTTAGGTAATATGGACTTTTAACTTTGTTTATTCTTCCAATCCATGTGCATGGAATATCTTTCCATTTCTTTATGTTGTCTTCAGTTTCTTTCAGTAATGTCTTACAGTTTTCAGTGTATGCGTCTTTTACCTCCTTGGTTAAGTTTATTCCTAGATATTTTATTCTTTCTGTTGCGATTGTAAATGGGATTGTATTCTTGACTTCTTTTTCTGCTAGTTGGTTATTAGTGTATAGAAATGCAACTGATTTTTGTAGGTTGATTTTATACCCTGCAACTTTGCTGTAGTTGTTGATTAATTCCAGTAGTTTTTTTGGTGGATTCTTTAGAGTTTTCTGTGTATGGAATCGTGTCCGCAAATGGTGAGAACAGAATGTTTTAACTTTTTAATTGAAGTCTAACAAGCATACAGGCAAGTACATGAGTCCTAAGTGAATGGCCACATGCACACCCCTTTACCAGCACCCAGGTGAGGGAGTGGACCCCTGTGCCCCTTGCCGGCTGCTGTCCGCCCTCCCGAGGGTGATGCTGTCCTGACACCTTACCATAGGTCAATTTTGCTGCGTCCACTCGTGAGGTCCGTCCCTCTGGTAGGTACCATCCACTGGGTGTGCCGTTATGTGACCAGCCAAGTTGATTTTCACTACTGTGCCTCATTACCAAATCCAAATCCAGGGTGAATCCCAGATGTACCCCTGCATTTCCTTCTAAGAGTTTCTGAGCTGATTTTTTGTCTATGGCATGAGGGGGTCCAGCCTCATCGTTTTGCATGTGGGATGCTGTTGTTGTGGCATGACTTGTTGGAGAGACTGCCCTTTCCCCACTGAATGGTCTCGGCACCTTCATGAAAAATCATTTCGCTGTGTGTGAGCGTTTTTCTCTGGTTTCTCCCTCCTGGTCCAATGGTCTGTATGTCTGTCTTGATGCCAGGACCAACCTCTCTTGATTACTGTTGTGTTGTAGTAAGGTTTGAAATCGGGAAGTGTGAGTCCTCTAACTTTGTTTTTTGTTTCGAGATTGTGTTGACTCTTCGGGGTTCCTTGAGATTCCGTGTGAATTTTAGGATCAGCTTGTCAGTTTCAACAGAGAAGCCTGCTGGGATTCTGAGAGGGATTGCCTTGGATCCGTCGGTCGGTTTCAGGAGTGTTGCCATTTTAACAGTCTTGGGTCTCTCAGTCCATGAACGTGGGATGTCTTTCCACTTATTTAGGTCTTTTTTACTTTGAACAGTGTTTTGTAATTTTCAGAGTATATGTTTTACGCTTTTTTTGTTAAATTTATTTCTAAGTATTTTATTCTTTTTGATGCAATTGTAAGTGGAATTGTTTTCTCAAAATCATTTTGAGATTGTCACAAATGTATAAAAACACAGTAGATTTTGTGCATTGATCTTGTATCCGGTACCCTTGCAGAACTCACTGGTTCCAACAGTTTTAGTGTATTCCTTAGAATTTTCCAGATAGAAAATCATGCCGTCTACAATTAGAGTTTTACTCCTTTCTCCACTTCACTTCCCCTTCTGTTGCCTCATTGTCCTCCAGTACAGCCTGGACCAGGGGTGGCGAGGGTGGCCCTCTTGCCATGTTCTTGGTCTCAGGGAGCATTTGGTCTCCACCTTCAAGGGTGGTGTCGGTTGTGGGTTTGGGAGGTGCCCTTTGCAGGTTCAGGAAGCTCCCTTCTCTTCCCTGTTTGCTGGTGTCTTAGTTTCTTTTTAACTGTACGCAGGTGTATTCCTTTCTGGTTGGAGTAGTCAGTGACTGTCATGGAGTGGTCAGTGGCATGCTTTGCGCATTGTAGAAACCGCATGGTTTGCTTAGCTGTTTCCCACTTGGCGGACGCGTGGCCAGTCGGACTTTCTCCCTGGTCCCAAGGTGCCTCTTAGTCGCGTTCAGCCAGCATTTTTTGCAGCAGCTCTGCATGTCAGGCTGTGCTCTCAGCCGAGGATGTGGTGGTGACACACGTCCACTCGTTTGTAGTTGGAGGGAGAATATCAGGTCAGCGCCCCGTGAGAGGTCGGACCAGGTGGTGGGAGGGTCCGTTCCCAGCATGGATCCTGCCGTGGGGCCTTTCCCGCCCTTAATGTGGGAGTTGTGCTGCTCTCCACATGGGCACTCGTGCTTCTTGCCCACCTTCCCATTGTGGGATGCAGGGCTCTCTCAAGGCTTCTTGGCACACCCCAGGCCAGGGTGGCCCCTGACCTGCCCTCCCTCGGCTTCCCCGTTGCCCCATCTCCTCCATCCCTTTTGTCACTGTCTGTTCCTTCCTTCACGGAATGAACTGGGTCAGTCTCGGGGGTTGGAGGGTGGAGATGGGCCTCTCTGTTCTAGCACCGCAGCTGATGGGTGGTCTCTGGGGCAGGAGTGGAGGCAGCACAGACAGCGAGGAGGAGGAGGACGAGGACGAGGAGGAGGACGAGGAGGATGGCGACGGCCGGGCAGCCCGCAGAGGGGCTGGGCCCCCCTCTTACCCCAGTCCTGGCCCTCAGCCTCCGGGTGGGTGAATGTGTGGGCTGGGGTGGGGTGTGGTCGGGCATTCGAGGGTCTGCCTGTTGTGCTCACCCTGCCCCCACCCCATCCCAGGTCCCAGCTGGACAGCTGGCTTTGACCCAGTGCTTACGGATGCCCTAACTGGCCCCCGAGACTCCGGGGAGGAGGAACCTCGCTCTGGGTCCCCAGTCCCACAGGGGCCCCTCAGCGTGCCCTGGGACCTCCCCACCCAGAGCCCAGCTGGCCCTGTGGCCTGTGATGCCTTGCAGCTCAGGTGAGGCCGGGAGGCAGTTGCTGGGTCCTGGTGCCCTTAGGCTCGAGTGCTGACCCAGTCACCCCCATGGGCTGCTTCTTTCCCCTCCCAGGTCTCAGGACCCTGCACCCCCCTCAGCACCTCAGGAAGCCACAGTTGGCGGCAAAGTAGCGGAGCCCTCGGGTGAGCCCTTGCCCTCCGTGCCCTGCCTACCTCCCACCTCCCCTGTGATCCCCACCCACCTTGCCCCACTCGCTATACCCTGTGGCCCTTCCCCTGCTCCCCTCCCCTTGCCTCCCCGGTCTTGCCCATACCCCATCAGAGGAGCAAGGCAGTGCAGAACCCCCTGAGTCTCTAGCCTCCGGGCCTCTCTCCTCCTGCACAGCCCCCTGCCAGGCCTTGGTCAGCGTTGGGGACCTCCAGACCACCCTCAGAGGGACATGCTCCACCCCCAGCTCCTTGGACAGGTGACCCACTGGGGCCAGCTGCTGGCTGAGAGGGGAGGCGGGTAGAGCCTGACCCTGGGCCATCCCTGCCCTGGAGCTGCTCTGAAGGGCCCTTGCCAGACACCCCCAGGTCTGTGCCACTGCCTTGAGGCCTCGTGGCAGCTGAGGGTGGTACCTGTGCCCACATGTGGCCGCAAGAGAGGGATCCTGGAGCCTGGAGGCCCTCAGCTCAGCCCTAGGGGCTGGAAGGCTTGCAGAAGGGGACAGGGGAGTGTGCACAGCCCGTGTGGAGCGGCTCCTGCACCGCAGCTCCCAGGGCTCTTTGGGCAGGAGGGACTCGCCGGGCCGCCCACTGCTTCCCGCTGACCAGTGCATGGGCTGAGGGTGGGAGCACCCAGCAGGGCGTCCGTGACACAACCCCACTGACCCCTACAGTGCAACCAGAGACCCTGCTACCTCTGTCCCAGCCCCTGGGGCCCACCAGACCACGGAGGGGAAGAAGAGCCCAGAGCCCTCGGGGCTTCCCCGAAACCAGAGGTGAGCAATGGGTGGCCTTGCGGGCAGCAGGCGTTTCGTGGGGGAGGTCCTGACCTCTCCGTGTCCCTCTCCCTGACAGTGCCCAGGCCCTCGAGCCGCCTCTGATGCCCAACGGCTCTGCCCCGGGAGGGCCAGTGTGCCCGGGCTCCCAGTGAGTGGCTGGGGCAGGGTGGACTGGGGGCTGTGGGCAGGGGTGGGGGTGGGGGCGTGGCTCCTCACGTGGGTCTCTCTCGGTTCCCAGGTAACTGCCTGGTCCCAGTGGTGGCGGCCAAATCCTTCATACTCCAAGTGGACCTGCCCAGGCGGGGGCAGGGCAGGTCCCCTGACGGCCCTGTTGCCCCATCACCCCACCCCGTCCCCGCTCTCTCTGGACTCCCAGGAGGCTGGTGCAGGGAGATAGGCCCTACCCCCCATCTGCACTGAGAAAAGAAATTATGGAGTCTTGTCTCCCAGAATAAAGATATAGAGTTGAATACAGAGAAAGGAGAGAGAGCGAACGAGCGAGAGAGACCTATATTATATATTATATATATATATGTATTGAGGGAGGAGAGAGTGGGCGGGAGGAGAGCCGGAAGGAAGCCAGGCCGAGGGGTGAGGGGGGACCTTCTCCCTGTCCCAGTGGGCCCGCGCCTCCCCTCACCTCCCGCCACGCCCCCCTCTCCGGTGCAGACGGCCTTTCAGCTCAGGTCACCTCCGGAGGGCCCTAGTGCAGGCTGTGCCTTTGCCCACCCCCTGGCCCTGGACCCTGCACTTTCGCCGGGCTGGGAGCTAAAGGACCCTCCGCCTGGCCCGGCTGGCTCTGTGGGGCCTGGGGTCCCGGTCCCAGGGGGCCGCCTTGGTGACATTCCCACGGGGCCCTGATGCACTCGCCGAGACCCCCGCACCTCCCATGGACCCCAGGGCGGGGGTCCGGCTGGGGTCCCCCTCCCACGCCCAAGGGCCTGGGGTCCAGCCCAGCTGCCAAGTGACCTTGTCCCAGCTCCCTCTCCCCAAGCCGGCGTGAGTGTGCGTGTGTTCGTGCTGAGCTTCTATTTCATATTGCAAATATAAATAAATAAAGGAAGACAGTTTAAGACTCCTGCCACTCAGACCTTGGGTTCCGGGCCCTAGGGAGGGAGAGCCTGACCCGTCCCGGCACCGTGGCCTCGGGACCCCAGCCCCCACAGCCTTGGGCTGTGACCCTCAAAGAGTGTGGAAAGAGGCTCCAAACCTCTGTCCTCTGCCAGGGGTGGTGACACTTCTGTTCAGACCAGGAGGGGGTTTACCAGGAGGAGGACCCAAGCCTGGCCTGCCTTGTCTGCCACCTGGACCCGGTGACCATCTCTGGGGACCCAGTAGGTCCAGGCCTTCCACACGAAAAATCACAGCATAGACCAAGTTCGCTTGTGCAACATGTATGTGACATCCAGAGCTGTGGGCCAGCATGGTGACGATGACCTTGGATAACTCATTCTTGGCGTGCACTCGTTCCGTTTGTGGTGGAGGCACCTGAGGCCCATCCGTTCTGCGGGGAAGGAGCCCTGCTGAGGCCAGAGCCTGGGACTTCGGGGCTGCGGCGGGAGCCCAGGGACCCTAGGGCGGCGAGGGGAGGAGGGAGTTTCCATCCTGTCAGCCGAGATGTAGGGTGTCGGTGCTGCCCTGCCCCAACTCCGCATTCCCTTCGACTGGGCACTGGACAACGGGAGGGGCATTTGTAGCCGCAGCCCCTGGGGGATGGGGGCTGTGGGGAGAGCAGGGACCCCTGGGTCCCAGGGCCCCTTATCAGCGGGTGCCAGGCAGCTCCCTGGGCCCTGTTATCAGTCCCAGAGTCCACAGGACGCTCCTAGGGTTAACGTGTAACCACACGCTGTCCCTTCCACCCCCAAAGCCACTGGTGTCCACATATGAGCCACTCGGGGGGCTCACAGGCCAACATGGACGCTGGGAAAGAGGGGCTGCCCCGGAAGCCTCGCTCCGCCCAAGTGAGGGCCGTCCAGGGTAGGGGGGCTGGTCTTGGGTTTCTGGGAACCCAAGCAGCCTGGAGGTATTGGGGGCCCTGCCTCCCGGGAGGCTGGGTTCTGTGGGGTTGAGCCACCCTGCCAACACCACAGCATGGGTGGGGTCCCCAGGTTGGGGTGGGGTGGAAACCCCCAGACCTGAGTCCTGGCCTGGTGGGCCCTGACCCCAAGGGCTGGGGACTGGCTGCGACCCCCGAGGCCAGGAGGGTTTTGGAGCCTTGTCACGGGGCTGGGGGCTGGGCTTAGCTGCAGAGGCTCAGCAACCCCCTGTCCCCCGAAGCCACCACACGTGGGCAGGTGGCTGAGCCTCTTCTTCCTCGCCTGTGCTGCCTACTTCATCCTGTGGATCCCCGGGGACCCACCGTCCTGCATCGGTGCCCTGGTCAAGTGCCTGCCCATCCTCTGCCTGGTGGCGCTCCTGCGGGCCGTGCGTGCCAGAGTAGTCCTGCAGGGGGCCCTGCTGTCCTCAGCCGTGGGGGACGCCTGCCTCGTCTGGCCTGCCGCCTTCCTCTACGGTGAGTGGGGCTGTACTGCTCCTTTCTGACCCCCATGCAGAGGGATCTGGGGCAGGGGGACCCTCCCCAGTAGGGTGCCTGCCGGGAGCCAGGCAGCATTCAAAGGCACAGGGGAGCAGCAGTGACCGAGACACATCCAAACCCCTGTCCTCGCGGAGCTCTTGTCCCGCTGTGGGCTGGGCCGTGCTGCTTTAGAAGGTGTGAGTGGCACCTGGGCCAGGGGTTGACATCTTGAGTAGACTGGTCGAGGACGGCCTCACTGAGAAGGTAATATCTTGAAGGGGGTGCGGGAGCCAGTGCCAGCCCATCTGGGGAAGGCTTGTCCAGGCAGAGAGTCTGGCGAGTGCAAAGGCCATGGGGTAGGGGCGTGCGGTGTGTCCTCCCAACGGCTCGGTGGGTGGAGCCGAGCAGGGAGCCAAGCGGGATGGAGAGTCAGTGGACAGTTGTGAGCAGAGTAAGAACAGATGCAGCCTGCTTCTTAGGATCACTGTGGTGCCAAAGGCAGGGAGAAGGGAGGCACCAAGGAGGCCGGTGTAGTAGTCCCGGCAGATGAGGGTGGCATGGCCGAGATAGGAGCTGGTGCTCTGGGACAGTCCTTTCCGTGAGGCTCTGGGCAGTGAGCCAATGGGGGGATGCAGGACTAGGGGTTCACCGGGCACCCCCACCCGTCTCCTCCAGGAGTGGCCGCCTTCACCGTGGCCCACCTGTTCTACCTCTGGGCCTTCGGCCTGACTCCGCTGCAGCCAGGCCTCCTGCTGCCTGTCGTCCTGGTCTTTGTCCCCTACTACGGCCTCCTGCTGCCGCATTTGTTGCCCGACATGCTCCTGCCCCTGACAGCGTATGTGCTGGTCCTGGCTGCCATGCTGTGGCGTGGCCTGGCCAGAGGCGGGAGCGCCGGCTGGGGCTCACTGCTCTTCACGCTCTCGGATGCCCTGCTGGCCTGGGATACCTTTGCCCAGCCCCTGCCCTACGCCCGCCTGGCAGTCATGGCCACCTACTACTCCGCCCAGGTCCTTATCGCCCTGTCGGGCTTCCGGGGCCCTGGGCTCAAGACCAACTAAGCAGGGGCCATGGTGGGCTGGTCTCCGCCCCCTCCCCTCCCACAAGGGCCTGGACGTCCCAGACCGGCTCACCTGAGAAACTCCCTCGGGGCTAGGAACCAGGCTCCCCAGACTGCTGTCCACAGGCGCTGGCTGTCTGGAGACGTGTGGGAACTGTTCGCAGAACCCCGAATCCGCCACCATGTTCCCACCGCCTTCCTCCTGGTCCGTTTCCAGGCCCTTCAGCCAGGCCCACGCTGGGCCCTCCCCAGCCTCCCACTGCCTGCCCGCTTCCCTCTGGCTCTCAGCTGTTTTTCTGTGGCCTGAGTAAAGTGGACTTTGAAATGGCGACATCTCTTGTTATTTTGAGAGGGGTATGGGGGGAGGGTGATCACAATAATAACAGCAAACGGTTCTTTTTATTTTTGCACAAGATTTACCATTTTACCATTTTAAGGGACGATTCAGTGACATTAAGTGCGTTCACAGTGTCACGCACTGAATCTTTTTTTATTCTTCTGGTCAGAACACTTACTGTGAGGTGTACCCTTGTAACACGTTTTTGTGTCCAGTGCAGTGTTGTAACTATACGCCCAGCAAGCTCCCTGTGGCGAGGCCTGGCGCCTGGGGCTGGTGGGACGTGGACTCCACCCCTGTGCTGGGCCCTGTGGTGGCCACGGGGCTTCGTTATGTTGCACAGATGAGGATTTTACAGATCGAGGCTGGGAGGAGACCAGTCCATGGGTTAGTTCCTATGGCTCCTGTCCCAAATTACAGCCGCCTGGGTCGCTTAAAACAACAGAAATTTAGTCTCTCTGTTCTGGAGGCCAGACACCCGAAATCAGGGTGTGGGCAGGGCCGCGCTGCCTCCAAGACTCGAGGGGAGGATGCTTGCTGCCTCTCCCAGCTCCTGGTGGCCGCAGCCATCCCTGGTGTTCCTCGAACTCTGCCTCCATCTTCACACAGCGTTCTCCCTCTGGCTCTGTCCTCGCCAAGGACACCAGTCATTGGATTTAGGCCCACCCTAAATCCAGGGTGATGGCAACTTGAGATCATCCATTACGTCTGCAAAGACCCTATTTCTAAATAACGTCACATCCATGAGTACGGGGCCTTATGGCTTGGGCACACCTCTTTGGGGGACACAGTTCAACCCGTTAGAGTCACATATAATATCAGGAGAGGAGCAGCTTGAGGAGGTGGGTAGACTCGAAGATGGCGGGACCTTGGAGGAAGGGGTCGGTAGCAGTGGGGTGGGAGTAGAGTCCTAAGGAAGAACGAGCCCAGGTGCGGCCCTCGTCCTGGCTGTGACCTTGGTGGCCCACTGGCCCGCTCAGCCTCAGGTTCTGCCTCTGAGGACACGAAGTGGCCAGAGCCACTCTCCAAACCCTCCTCGACTTCTGCATCCATGCCGTGCTTTTAGGGACTCATGGCAGAGGAGACTTGTACCTCCCTGACGTGCATTTAGGGACCCCTAGAACCTCCCCTACTTTTTAGTCCCTGCCTCACCAGACAGGAATGCCTCAGGCCAGATGAGGCATGCATGCTGTGGCGCAGCCTGTCAGGGGTGGGTTTTCTGCGTGGGGCACCCTGCTCTTCACGGTCTCAGATGGCTGGCAGCTGTTGGCCTCCCATGCCTTCTTTCAGCCCCTGCCCCACGCCTCTTTTGTGGTCCTGACCACCTGCTACCCTGCCCGGGTCCTCATCGCTGTGTCAGCCATCAAGAGCGGGAGGCTTGTGACAGACTAACTTGGGGAGTAAATAAAGTGAGCACCTTCTCTTCCCCTCCTGAAGGGGCCCCCAGAATAGCCTCCTGTCACAGTGGAAAGTGCTAAGGAGCCACGTTTCCAGCCTCCATCTGTCTGAAGATCATGTTCTATTTTTTTATTGACATATAATTGACATGTAACATTGTGTAAGTTTAAGGTGTGCAACACATTGATGCATTTATATGTCGCAGTATGATTACCACTGTTGCAGCAAACCACCCTCTCACATTTCTTTTTTGTGGTGAGAAGATTGGAAGTCTAGTCTCTTAGCAACTTTGAAGTTTAGAATACAGTATTTTCTGTAATCACCATGCGGGACCATGCATGTTCTGTTTGAAGGCATTTATATCCAATTCCTAAAAAGTGTGGTTGCAGCTTTATTGAGATATTCTTCACATGTCATCCAACTGCCCATTTGAAGTGTGCATGTCAGTAGATTTTAGGGTATTCCCAGAGTTGTGCAACCATCACCACAATCAATTGTAGAGCATTTTCATCACCCCCACAAGAGACCTCAGGCCTTTTACCTATCACCTCCCCAATCACCCCATCCCCTCCAACCAAAAGCAACCACTAGCAGAAGTCATCATTAAATGTTGGTGTTATCAATCATTGGGGTTGTTTTCAGTGGTTCACAATGATAAAGAATTAGGATTTCTGCACCCAATTCCAGTGTTTGTGTTTTCCAACACCACCATGCAAATCTCTGACACCGGGTGGGCACCCTACAACTCAATTCTGACGCTATCTACCTGGAGGTGGCATCAGATCCCACAGGTTAAGGGCTCAATCCCGCAAGACTCCCCCGACTCCCCACGTCAGATGCCAATCGCAGGTCCAGGTTATCACCTGTGCTTCTGACCAACCAGTGATAGAGGGGAGGTTCCCACGTCCCCTCCTCGGGTTCGGTTAATTTGCTAGAGTGGCTCAGAGAACTCAGAGAAACCTTTTACTCGCTAGGTCACCAGTTTATTATAAAAGGATGTAACTCGGGAGCAGCCAGATGAAGAGATGTAGAGGGCAAGGTATGAGGAAAGGGTGTGGAGCTTCCATGCCCCCTACACCCACCACTCTCCCCGAATCCACGTGGTCACCAACCTGGCAGGCTGAGTATAAGTTGAAACGAGGCTGCGGCCAGGTAACCTAGCCCCTGGCTCAAGGTCACCCTGTCCAGTCCCATTTCTACATGGAGCTCTGGCCACGCTGAAATCCTTGCAGATCCCCCTGCCTCGTGCCAGCTCTCTCCCCTCAGCCCTCCTCCCTCAGCCCTCCCTCTCTGACGGCTTCCAGTGCAAGTCTTCGCTTGACCAAATCTTCCCTGGTATCAAGACTCAGCCGGGCCGAGGACAGAGGTGTCCTCGGGGCTCGCACAGTTCCCAGCACTACCTCCACTGTAGCACATTTCATTTCACACAGAGGTTTCCTTCCCAGTCTGTTTCCCCACCACAGCGTGAGCTTGGCCAGGACCAGAGAGGCCATTGGCCTTTGGCTCCCTGGTGGTGGTTCAGCCTATGATCGGGCCTGCAGGAAGGTGTTGGTGTCACGTAAATAGCTGAGGAAATTGATTCAAAATCACAAATGAATACGGATTTAGTTCTTGAAGGAGCCATATAGGGAGAGGAAAGCATGGAGCAGGGGGACTAACAGCCCCAGAACAACAAAAACGGTGAGAAACGCTTGGGGAGATTGAAGGGGGTCATGAACTGGTGGTGGAGGGGGGACAGGGTTGGTGGCTGGAGTGGGCTAAAGAGAGGATAGCCACAGGAGGCTTAGAGAGTTTGGCCACTCCTAGATATATCCCTAATGGAACTGAAGACATATGTCCACACAAAAACTGCAATGTGAATATTCAAGCAGCGTTATTCATAATAGCCAAAAGGGAGAGACCCAAATGTCCATGAGCTGGTGAGTGGATAAACCAACTGTGGTATATCCATAAAGGTATACTATTCAGCCCTGAAAAGGAATGAAGTATGGATTTGGGGTGATTTGATGTGTCAGTGCAGGTTCATCAATTGGAACAAATGTCCCACTCTGGTGGGGGATGTGGTTAATGGGGCAGTCTATGCATGTGCGGGGGCAGCAGGTATATGGGAAATCTCTACCTTCCTCTCAATTTTGCTGTGAAACTAAAAGTGCAAGTAAAAATAACTAGATCTTGGGCCCACAAACTTTTCCTTTAAAGAGTCAGATAATAACTGTTTTATGGGTCCAGAGACAAAATCAACGATGTTATGTAGGTACTCAGTAAAAGAGAAAAATTTCCAGGGGCTGGCCTGTGTCTTTTGCTTCAGTGGCCCATGGTTTGCAGGTTCCAATCCCAGGCACAGACCTAGCACTGCTTGTCAAGCCACACTGTGGTGGCATCCCACATAAAATAGAGGAAGATTGGCACAGATGTTAGCTTAGGGCCAATCTTCCTCACAAAGAGAGAGAGATTTCCACAAGTTTTTTATTGATGCAGTTAAAAATATAACATTGGTAAGTGAGTGTAATTTTCTGTAATACTGATGAGCAGAATGGTATATCAGTTGCTAGGGCTGCCATAACCAAGTACCCAAACTGAATGGCTTGAACAACAGAAATGTATTGTCTCAGTTCTGGAAGCCAGAAGTCCAAGATCATGGTGTCAGCAGATCTGGCTCCTTCACAGGTCTGAGGGAGAATCTGCTCCATGCCTCTCTCCCGGCTTCTGGTGGTTTGCTGGCAATCTTTGCCATTCCTTGCCTTCATGAGGATCCATTCCTGTGGAGAACCAGTCACTTCTTGTCAGTCACAGCCCCTTAAAAAAATGGGTCTGTGGAATATTATTTGGCCATAAAAAGGAGTAAAGTTTGTAATATGCTACAAAATGCATGAACCTTGAAAACATTAAACTAAGTGAAAGATGCGAGTTCCAAAAGACCATTATTATAGGATTCCATTTATAAGAAATATCCAGAATAGGTAAATCAAAGAGACTGAAGTAGATTCATGGTTGCCAAGGGCTGAGGGTGTGGATGGCAGGATGGGGTGACGAGAGCCAAATGCAGAGATGGAGAGACTTTGGATTCTGGTTGCCCCTCCCCTAGTGAAGAGGTAGTTAAAAGAACCCTTAAGCATCATGATAGGACTCAGAGAAACTCCAGATTGTGATGCAGGGCAGACTAGGGCTGGCTGGTGGGGCAGGCAGGTTCTGCCGTTGCGGGAAAGAAGAAATCACCATTTCTTTCCTCCTGCCCAGGAGGAAATCTGTCCATCTGCTCCAGGGCTTCAAAGGGCATCCTGGCTGAGCATTTTGCTGACTACTTCAGGAGAAAGACAAAGGAAGTGTCAACTTAAAAAGCAAATTTGCCTCTTATTTTATCTCCAAAATGAGTTTATCTGGGAATAGCCAAAAGAATTGCAGTTCAGGGTGTACATGCTATGGTGTACCACAGGCAAATCCAGGCTACTTTTACAGAGAAAAAGGGGGAGCGAGAGGGGCTGTGCTAAATGAAAATCCCTTGAGGGGAAAGTAACAGTTCAGGATGGCAATGGCTTCTCATTGGCTGAACTGTGGCATTTCTCATTGGCTGAGCTGAGGTGTTTCTCATTGGCTGAGCTGAGGCATTTCTCATTGGCTGAGCTGAGGTGTTTCGCATTGGCTGAGCTGTGGCATTTCTCATTGGCTGAGCTGAGGTGTTTCTCATTGGCTGAGCTGAGGCATTTCTCATGGCTGAGCTGCGGCATTTCCCATTGGCTGAGCTGTGGCGTTTCTCATTGGCTGGGCTGTGGCATTTCTCATTGGCGGGGCTGTGGCATTTCTCATTGGCTGAGCTGTTGCCAAGTGGGGAAAGAAGTCTTCCCTCAGTGGTAAGGTAGTTGTACTTCCTGTGGAAGATGGAGGCCTCCTCTCTTCCTGTTTGGTGTAATTGATGATGTGTAATGGGGGTGTGAGAGCTCCCCCTACAGGCCTTCCTGACTCCAATTTAGCTATGGTTTCTTTTAGCAGTTTTCGCAGAAGGCAACTATGGCTTTGCCAAGGACTTCCAGGTATCGTGGCAGCTTTGGGAACTGAGTTGGGGGTCCTGATGCCCAAACCTCCAGGCTCTTCCTATTCACGTTTGTACATGTCCACCCTCCATGATACAAGTGAAAATCTCCATTCCAAGATGCCTCACATGGGCCAGCCTGCCAGGGGGAAGCTCCCTTCCTCAGGCTCCCTGAGCTCTACCTCATTTCTTGCTTCAGTTAGTGAGAAAAGGGAGCCAGCCAGGACTCCTGAGTTCTCTGGTGAGGCAGGCTCCTGTTATTTCGTGGATCCTTCAATCCTGGCTCCCCACCGATATGGCTGGGGAAGAAGGAAAACAAGGGCTGACTGGATGGAGGAGGAGCAGTGAGATGGGAGTCTGGATTGGTTCCCCAGGATGAGGTCAAAGATCTAATCTCAAATTAGAGAAAGTGGGAAGGGAGTGAGATTGCATGAAAAGCTGGACTGGATCAGTGACTGTGGACTGGATGGCTTGACACACAATCAAATTCAGGTTAAGTGATGTTTCCTGAGCCATCATCAGCGTGGAGGTGTCAAGTTGGCCCCGTAGCTCCAGAGAGGGATAGACTTGTTTCAACCCTCAAGAAGTTCCCACTCTGACAAAAGAAAGGAGAAAGAGACTTAGCCACATACAATGTTACGAGTATTATAGGAAGAGATTTGCTTAGTTAAGCTCATACAGGAGGGAGTGGTCACCTGTCTCTGAGGTCAACCAGAAGTAGAAGGAGCAGCAGGCATTGGCTGGTGGTGAAAGAACTTGCCAGACAGAGAGAACGGCATGTGCAAACACCTGGAGTGTGCAAACAGCCTGGAGTGCCTACAAAAAAAATTAAGAACTTGTGTGTAGCCAGAGGAAAGATAGGAAAGGAGGCTGGTGAGCAGATCCAGAAAGAACTCAAATAGTAAAATAAGGACTTAATTCGTTCATTTATTTAACTAATATTTATTGAGAAACTAAAAAGTCTGCATAAATATCTCTTACAGTAAGGACAAATTGCCACCCGTGAGGTGGACCCACATGATGTCATATGGCATGATGAGATGATTGAGGTCTCAGAAGGAGCCAGAGAGAGGACCAAAGTGTGCTGCTATCCCTGTCAGATGAAAAAACATTGTCCTTTCTAACCATTGTACAGGAAAAAAGCATTTTCCAGTTCCTTAGCTGCACACCAAGTTCCAAGGGCTGTGTTAATTTGCTGAAGGAGACCCCGCATCGAGAAGAGAAGCTACTGCTGATGCAATCACCTGGTTAAGTTTAACATCATCCACTTCCATTGCCCAAGATCCATCAGCTCTTGCATGGACCAATCATGTGGATGCCATTGCATGGCCCAGGATACCATAGGAATTGCCTCAGCTGCATCTCCCAGGGTTTGATAGTAACATCAATCAGTTACTTCCCTGAGTTATGATTTTGGAAGGATGGAGATGTCCTAGTGCTTCCCACCGTGAAAGTCCTCACACCATGGAACAGGGAAATCAAAGTGTTGGGTCTACCATTTTATGAGTGTCTATTTGAACTACACTCTCAAGAACTGAGGAAGGAACCACGCAGTGTTCCAGTCCACTTGGCCCACTGCATGACAGTCTTGGGGCAACCCTCCTTTTGTTAACTGATCCCGCCCCCAGGCACTAGTCAGATCATAGGCCACAGTGGCATTTTGTGCTCCTACGTGTTAGAATTGATTCAGAACCGGTATCTGGCAATCCTTCGTTCCCTTTTCCTAATATGCAGTCACACTGAAATTGGCCTCTAGGAAGTTAGGAGGAAGATTTACAGTATATGCTTTGGTTATTATCAGTAGGTCCCTCTTGAACAGCATCCCCTACATCGCAGGCACTCCAACTCTGAGAACTGGCTCCAGTCTGGCAACTGGTATGAGGCTGAGGCTGCATGGGGGTGTATGTGTTGATGCTCCTACACAGACTCCTTTAAAGGCACGAAACACCCATCCCCCAGCTCCGGGGAGTGTTGGCTGCTCACAGATGACTCATTTTCAAGAGAATTGCCTTTGACCTCACACAAACTGTCCTCCTAGGGAGGTTGTGAAACTCATCCTTGGAGAAGCTCATATAAAGAAGCTGGGGGTCCAAAGTTCAGACCCTCATCCCTGTGGTGAGAGCACTCTGAAGTCATTGGCTCACTTAGCTCCTTCCTCTGCCCCATACTTCTTCCCTCACTCCCTTTCCCCTAAAAGCAAACCCTCAAAAAAAACCATGAGCATCTGAGTCCTTGTCTCAGACTCTGCTTCCAGGACACATGAACGCAGACCCTGAGATGCGCCACCATGGGGACTCAAGTCTAACCCCTGCTCATCAGACCTAGAGATATCCTCGTTATACAGATCAACACTACCTGGTGCTTACCATCACACTCGTAAGAAGAGATGAAAGGAACTTGAGTTGGGAGGGTTGTGCCAATTGGGGCTCCCAGTAGTGACTCCATGGAGATTTCCATTCTTAAGGGGAAAAGAATAGAAGGAGGATCCTAGATGTTACATTTCTGGTGTGCCTTCCCCATGCATGGGAATCTGGCTATGTAGGGAGGCAGAAGCTGCGTTGTGTACAGGAAACTGTGGAGAAGTTGGGTTTTGAAGAGAAGGCAGATGAAAGATGATGGGCTGGTAGGTGTGGAGTCGAGAGAGGTGAGTCCTTCTTTTTAGACAGGGAAGGTAAGCGTATGTACAAGGAAGGGAAGATCCAGAGGAGAGAGAGAGAGACAGAGACAGAGACAGAGAGAGAGAACAAAGATATAGGAAAGAGAAATAGGTTGGAACAGAAACCTGAGCTGTTGGGAGGATATCTGATCCATTACCCACTGATGGGGCATTTGGAGAATATATATATATTTTTTTTGACGAAGACTAGCCCTGAGCTAACATCTGCTGCCAATCCTCTTTTTTTCTGAGGAAGACTGTCCCTGAGCTAACATCCATGCCCATCTTCCTCTACTTTATACGTGGGACGCCTACCACAGCATGGCTTGCCAAGCGGTGCCATGTCCACACCTGGGATCTGAACCAGTGAACCCCCGGCCGCTGAAGCGGAACGTGCGCACTTAACCACTGCGCCACCGGGCGGGCCCCCTGGAGAATATTTTAATCAGACTCTTCATTATGCAGATGAGGGACACTTCCCAAGAACAGTGTAGTGAGGACTGAGTTATGTAGCTAAAATGGGATGTCTCTTCAAATAGCATATATTTTTTGAGTATCAAATATGCTTATGTAATGAAAATTTTAACTCAGAGAAAGCATAAGGACAATTAAAAAGTCTTGTGTAATTCCAATCGTAGGGTACTCAGGAATGCCCTGGGGTCGAGGGTGAGACACATGAATCCACACATCTCAGGGGGTGTGCGAGAGGAGAGAGTGGAGGGAGGCAAAGTTCAGCCTCAGAGGCAGATGTTGGATTCCCAGGTCACATCCCCTCTGGGCCGCAGGCTGCTCCTCTGAAGTGGAAACCATGTCCAAAAACCGAGATGCTCCCAGTGCAGCACAGTAAGTGTTAGTTCCCTCTCCTTTCTCCTTTTGTAACATGTGCTTGACAAATGGAGACTGATCTTACAGAAAGTGGTAAAAATGGCCAAATTCTGAAATGATTACTATGTGCAAATATGATAGGGTGGCTGCCTCCATCCAAAATGACCCCCAATAATCCTCTTTCTGGTTTTCACATTTTTGAGGGGTCCCCTCCCACACTGAAGAGGTTGACCAGTGTAATGAGTAGGGTATGCCAGAAATGATGGTGTGTGCCTTCTGAGGCCATAAAACACACTGTGAGTTCTGCCTTGTTCTCTCTCTTGGATCCTTCACTCTGGGGAAGGCTGGTACCCGTGTTGTGAAGATGCTCAAGATGCATCACAGTGAGATCCACATGGTGAGGAGCTGAGGCCTCCTGCCAACAGCCATGCAAGTGAACCATCACCAAAGTGGGTCCTCCCACCCCACTTGAGCCTTCAGATGAATGCAGCCCCAGCGGACCTCTTGACTGCAATCTCACAAAAAACCCTGAGCCAGAACCACCAGCCAGGCCATTACTGAATTCCCAGCACACAGAACCTGAGAGACAGTAAATGTTTATTGTTATTTAAGTCCTGGGGTAATTTGTTACACAGCACTAGATAACTCATGTATACGTATTTCCTCAGTATAACTGACCACAACTTTTTGAAGTAGATAGTCTTTTAAAATTTTGTTATCAAGCACTACATAATACACTGCCTGCTACATAATACACCACAGAACCTTCTGGAAGGGGCAGGTGAGCATAAGCGAGTTATTATTATTTTTTTAAGATTTTATTTTTCCTTTTTCTCCCCAAAGACCCCCCGGTAGTTGGTTGTATATTTTTAGTTGTGGGTCCTTCTAGCTGTGGCTTACGGGATGCCACCTCAGCGTGGCCTGATGAGCAGTGCCATGTCCGCACCCAGGATCCGAACCACTGAAACCGTGGGCTGCTGAAGGGAAGCGCCAGAACTTAACCACTGGGCCCGGGGCTGGACCCCCCCCCCCCCCCCCGCAGGAGTTATTTTTTCATCCATTAAGAAAATACCTCCTTAGTCAATCACTGTTCTTCAAATGCTTGATACATAGTAACAGTTAACCCCAGATTCGGGCCTACCTCTTTACATCAAACTCCACTGATGAATAATGGGCCACCCTTTTTTCAAACAGTGGACCCTCAGATGTCTGTGGCTCCAGAACTGGCCCAAAGTGGGGAGCTGCCCTGTATCCGAGCTAGACAGTACTTTTAATTCCATTTTTAAAACAAGGAGACAGAGACACAGAGAGGTTGGATGGATGACGTTCAAGATCACATAGGTGGTTAATGGGGAGAATGCAAACGCAGGCATGTGGCTCCGGGACCTGCTTTCCTCACTGCCGTATGTGTGTGAAATTAAGGCAGCTTGTGTGTGCACATAATCATCAAGTCCACAAAAATAGCCTGAAAAGCCCTTCTGGACACTTGGTTTAGGGAGAAACCAAAAATAAACGTGGCTATGATTTATGGAGTGTTTAAAATGGGCCATGCCTTATTCTGAGACTTTACGCATACAAATGCGGTTACTTCTCACAGCATATTTATAAGGGGTTGTGCCCATTTTTTATAAATGAGGAAACTGAGTCACTGGGAATTTAAGCCACTTGTTTAAGGTCACAGGGGAATGTGGCAAGACGAATATGCAAATACGGCACCTATAGTCTGGTGTGTGTTGTAGAGATGGCACAGGCTCCCAAGGGCTTCAGCCCAGCGTGGGCCACTTCTGAACTGAATCCTAATGGGGAGCAGGAACAAGATTGTCGGAAAATGAGATCGTTGGGGGAAGGTGCACCTGGCCGGGGAGACCACACATGCAGAGGCCAGGAGGCAGGAATGTACTGGGCTCATTTTGTGAGACCTGCAAGGGCTTGTGGGAGGCAGGAAGAGGCGAGATGGGCCAGAGTCTGAATCAAAAGGTTGACCCCACTGCGGGACAGGAGATCTAGCCCTGCCTGGCCTTGGTGGTAACTGTCCTCTTGTGAGATGGAGAAGTGAGACATCCCTCTCTCAGCTGCTCCACCCATCAAGGAACTCTGAGTGCATTCACACAGCAGCAGGGAAGCAGCACCTAATACCGGGGTGTCTTACTTCAACCAAGTGGGGACGCGGCCTTGGCGGGATAAAGTGGGCAGAAGAGGGGGCTGGACGGGAGACCCCGTGGCCAGGGGTGCAGGACCGCCTGGAGGCGAGGACCCAGGCGAGGGCGGGGCTGGGAGCTCTCACACTGGAGCCTCCACTTCCTCCTCCTCCCTCCCGCCCCGGCCTGTGGCCTCACCGTGGGGCTGGGAAAGGGGAAATTGTGCCGATTAAAGTCCAGCAGGTGGAAGTCCAGGGCTGGGACACCTGGGTCCCTCGGCAGTGTCTGAGACATGACCAGGGCTGGCGGGGGCCTCTGGGCCTTCGGGAGCCTGGTGCTGCTGGTGAGTGTTCCCAGCCCCGGGGGAGGGGTGCCAGGGTCCCAGGGAGGGGTGGTTTGGGGGCACGCTCTTGGGTCTGAGGGAAGAGAGAGCTGGGATCCCTGAACTGGGGTCCTGAGGGAGTGGCAGCTGATGATTCTGGGCAGGAGGAAGCAGGCTTCTAGGCTGGTGCGTGACGTTGTCCTGGAGTCTTACACCTGGGCTCTGAGATACTGCTGTGTTGACTGTGAGAGAAAACGCTGGTTTCTGGCAAGACTCAGCTATGCTTCCAAAGGCCCAGGGGTTCAGGCCCCCAGCCCCTCCTCCCTCAGACCCAGGGGTCCAGGCCCTTAGCGCTTCCTCCCTCAGACCCAGGGGTCCTGGCCCCCAGCTCCTCCTCCCTCAGATCCAGGGGTCCAGGCCCCCAACCCCTCCTCCCTCAGACCCAGGGGTCCAGGCCTCCAGCCCCTCCTCCCTCAGACCCAGGAGAACAGACCCCAGCCCCTCCTTCCTCAGACCCAGGAGAATAGAACCCGCAGCCTCCTCTCTCAGACTAGGCCAAGGGTCCAGGCCCCCAGCCTCCTCTCTCAGACCAGATGTCTGCCTTCTGGTCCCCAGCCTCAGTCTCCCCCTCTGTTCCCAGTTTGTTGATTACTTCCCTGCCCCTAGTCCTCCAAGGCCATATTTTTCGGGAAGTGAAACCATTGTGTTTATCTCCTGGCCTTATCGGTGGAACCAACCCTGGCTCCTGGGTCCCTGGAGCCCCGCCCCTGCCATGCTCCTGCGCCTTCCCCCTACACACACACCCAGAAAAGACTGACGTTGGAGTGATCTTTGTCAGAGCCTAGGCTGCAGGAGGCGATACTGCACGGGGTCCTTCCTCTCCCTTAGGCAGCAGTCACTCCAGGAATGGGGGCAAGGACAGGGGGTCGCTGGCCCAGCCCCGCAATCTCACCCCGGCCAAGGAAGGTGAGGCTCACAGTCTCATGCTCCCTCTCTGGGCTCTCCCCAGGGGCTGTGCAGCTGGACAGGAGCCAGGGCCAATGGTGAGTGACCCCTGCTGAGTCCACCGCCCACACAAAGAGGTTGCACCTCAACTCCTGCCACCTTCTGAGGGGGCCCTGGAGGACGCAGGGATCCATTGCAGGCACTGATGGGAGCGGTCCCTTCTGGACTAGGGGCAAAAACTGAGGGTAGTGGACGGGACACCAGTGGTCTGCTCCTCTGCTCTCACCCCACCTTCCTTCCCCGTTCTCAGCCCCCAACCGAGTCAGAAACCTGAGCGTGGAGACTTGGACCAACAGCTCCAGCGCCCTGCGCTGGGCAGCGCCCCAGGACCCACATCCTCAGAACTATACCTACTGGGTCCAGCGGCCTGGAGAGAGGGCAAAAACGAGACCCGAAACACAACAATGACCAGTTACGCAGTGAATGGACTTAAGTCAGTGTCCTCCTGTGAATCTTCCGTATGGACAGAGGACAGAGCACCAGGCCCAGGGAAGACGGTCGAGGGTTCCCAGGGTAGACCCACCCAAAATCCACTCTCTGCTATGTTCCCTTTTGTTTTGCGTGGAGGGAGGTGGCAGGAGATGACTGAGGAGATGACTGGCCTCTCTCTGCCCACAGCCGGGGCCCACACGTCCCCAGGCCTCACTGGGCCAGACCCTCAAGTCTGCAGGAAAGCCTGGCCACATCCCAGGGATTGTCCATGGGCCCTCCTGGCTCTGAGTTAGGGGCTGGGGGAGTTTTCTAGACCATCGTTTTAGGGAGTGTTTCTCCTTAGCAGCCAGGGCTGTGTAGGGGACAAAGGCACGTTCTCTGAGCTCTGGGGGGTTAGGTACTATGGGATGTGGACACTTTGATCCCTGACTCTTTTCCTAGTTCACCACTGTGTCAGGGTCTTGAGAATGGAAGCTCAGCTCCCTCACCTTCACGTGACAGCTCCTCTGTTCTAGACCTCTATTATCCAATATAGTAGCTGCTAGTCATGTGTGGCTGTTTCAACTTGAGTTCTTTAGAACTGCATAAAATTTCAAATTCAGTTCCACATTTCACCTGCTCAGGAGCTCTGTTGAGAGGCTCCCAGTCTCTTCTCAGTCTCGCATGGGCTAGTGTACACAATATTGGACAGTGGAAGAGCATTTCCATCATCACAGACATTCTATTGGAAAGTGCTGGTCTAGATCCTTGATACTCAAATGGTGAGCCATGGGTGGGCAGCCCCAGCATCCACCAGGAGTGGATTGTAAATGCGGAAACTCAGTGTCATCCTTGACCTACTGAGTGAGAACCTACATTTTAACAAGATCCCCAGTGTTATGTATGCATATTAAACCTGAGAAGCGCTGGTCTACACCATACACCCTACATCTCCTGGACCAGAAGTTGTACAGAACTAGGAACTTATTTTGAGGGCAAAATATGCCCACTGGCTATTCTGTGATCAGCCCCTCTGCTGACACTGGATCCTTCTTCCGAATTTCTCAGCCCCCAACCCTGTCAGGAACCTGAGCGTGGAGGCTCAGACCACCAACTCCATCACCCTGAGGTGGGAGGCGCCCGATGACCCTGACTCTCAGGACTACACCTACTGGATCCAGTGGACTGGTGATGGTGACAAACTTGAGAACAGAAGCACAACAAACACCAGTGTCACCGTGGATGGACTGAAACCTGGGTCCTCGTATGAATTTTCCGTGTGGGCAGAGAAGAATGGAACTGGTAGCTCCTGGGAAACGCTCAATGCCACCACAGGTGACAGGCAGCCACCATTCACTTTCATTCATTCATTCTTTCTTTCTTTCTTTTTTTAATGGGAGGTGATATGTGTGGTGGAGAGTTGACAGGAGAATATGGCACATTCTGTCAGCCAGTGTACCTTTTGGTTCACGTTGAGCAGGAGATGAAGAAAGAGCATCTGAAGGGCCTCCAGGTTCTGAGTTGGGATCAGTCAGGGTCTAGGACTTTCTAGAATGCAGACCATAACAGGAAGGGTGTCTCTCCTTAGCAGCCAGGGCTGTGTAGGGGGCCAAAGGCATATTCCCTGAGCTCTGGGGGTGGGGGCTGAGGTGCTATGGAATGTGGACACTCTGACCCTCTGACTCTTCTAGTTCACAACTGTGTCACAGTCTTGAGGATGGAAGCTAGACCACCAGCTCCATCACTTTGTCATGGACAGCCCCCCTGCTCTAGACCTCCATTGTGCAATATGATAGCCACTAGTCACATGTGGTTATTTAAATACAAGTTCATAAGAACTGCATAAAATTGCAAAATCAGTTTCACTTTTCATGTGTTCAAGAGCTCTGTTGAGGGGCTCCCAGTCTCTTCTCAGTCTCCCACTGGGCTAGTGTCCACAATATTGGACAATGGAAGAGCATTTCCATCATCACAGACATTCTATTGGAAAGTGTTTGTCTGGAGCCTTGCTCCTCAAAATATGGCCTATGGGCAGCCCCAGCATCCCACGGGAGCTGATTGTAAATGCAGAATCTCAGTGTCATCCCAGACCTGCTCAGTCAGGACCTGCATTGTAACAAGATCCCCACTGTTATGTGTGCAGTGTTATGTATTAAACTTGAGAAGCGCTGGTCTTCACCATACACCCTACATCTCCTGGACCAGAAGTTGTGCAGGACTAGGAACTTATTTTGAGGGCAAAATATGCCCACTGGCTGTTCTGTGATCAGCCCCTCTGCTGACACTGGATCCTTCTTCCGAATTTCTCAGCCCCCAACCCTGTCGGGAACCTGAGCGTGGAGGCTCAGACCACCAGCTCCATCACCCTGAGGTGGGATTCGCCCGATGACCCTGGCAGTCAGGACTACACCTACTGGATCCAGTGGACTGGTGATGGTGACAAACTTGAGAACAGAAGCACAACAAACACCAATGTCACTGTGGATGGACTGGAACCTGGGTCCTCGTATGAATTTTCCGTGTCGGCGGAGAAGAATGGAGTCTATAGCTCCTGGGAAACGCTCAATGCCACCACAGGTGACAGGCAGCCACCATTCACTTTCATTCATTCATTCTTTCTTTCTTTCTTTTTTTAATGGGAGGTGATAGGCATGGTGGAGAGTTGACAGGAGAATATGGCACATTCTGTCAGCCAGTGTACCTTTTGGTTCACGTTGAGCAGGAGATGAAGAAAAGGCATCTGAGGGGCCTCCAGGTTCTGAGAAGGGGGTCAGTCAGGGTCTAGGACTTTCTAGAATGCAGACCATAACAGGAAGGGTGTCTCTCCTTAGCAACCAGGGCTGTTTAGGGGGCCAAAGGCATATTCCCTGAGCTCTGGGGGTGGGGGCTGAGGTGCTATGGAATGTGGACACTCTGACCCTCTGACTCTTCTAGTTCACAACTGTGTCACAGTCTTGAGGATGGAAGCTAGACCACCAGCTCCATCACTTTGTCATGGACAGCCCCCCTGCTCTAGACCTCCATTGTGCAATATGATAGCCACTAGTCACATGTGGTTATTTAAATACAAGTTCATTAGAATTGTGTAAAATTTTGGGACTGGCCCTGTGGCCAAGTAGTTAAGTTCATGCTCTCCACTTTGGTGGCCCAGGGTTTTGCTGGTTCTGATCCTGGGCACACACATGGCCCTGCTCATCAGGCCATGCTGAGGCGGCGTCCACATAGCATAACTAGAAGGACCTACAACTAGAATGTATGACTATGTACTGGGGGGCTTTGAGGAGAAGAAGAAGGGAAAAAAAAAAAAAAGAAGATTGGCAACAGATGTTAGCTCAGGTGCCAATCTTAAAAAAAAAGAATTGCCTAAAATTTCAAATTTAGTTCCACATTTCATGTGTTCAAGAGCTCTGGTGAGGGCCTCCCAGTCTCTTGTCAGTCCCCCACTGGGCTAGTGCTGGCAGTATTGGGCAGTGGAAGAGCATTTCCCTCATCGCAGGCATTCTATTGGAAAGTGTGGGTCTGGAGCCTTGCTCCTCAAAATATGGTCCATGGGTGGGCAGCCCCAGCATCCCACGGGAGCTGATTATAAATCCGGAATCTCAGTCTCATCCCAGATCTGCTCAGTCAGGACCTGCATTGTAACAAGATCCCCACTGTTATGTATGCAGTGTTATGTATTAAACTTGAGAAGCCCTGGTCTACACCATACACCCTACATCTCCTGGACCAGTAGTTGTGCAGGACTAGAAACTTATTTTGAGGGCAAAATATGCCCACTGGCTGTTTCCTTTATCTGCTCCCTTGCTGACACTGAATCCTTCTTCTTAATTTCTCAGCCCCCAACCCTGTCAGGAGCCTGAGTGTGGAGGCTCAGACCACCAGCTCCATCACCCTGAGGTGGGAGGCGCCCGATGAGCTTCAGGACTACACCTACTGGATCCAGTGGACTGGTGATGGTGACACACCTCAGAACAAAAGCACAACAAGCACTACTGTCACCGTGGATGGACTGAAACCTGGGTCCTTGTATGAATTTTCCGTGTTTGTGGAGAAGAATGGAGTCTATAGCTCCTGGAATAATCTCAGTGCCACCACAGGTGACAGGCAGCCACCATTCATTTTCTTTCTTCATTTGTTTTTATGGGAGGTGATAGGCGTGGTGGAGAGTTGACAGGAGAATATGGAACCTTCTGTCAGCCAGTGTACCTTTTGGGTCACATTGAGCAGGGGATGAAGAAAGAGCATCTGAGGGGCCCCCACGTTCTGAGTTGGGATCAGTCAGGGTCTAGGACTCTCTAGAATGCAGACTGTCATACTAGAGGGTGTCTCTCCTTAGCAGCCAGGGCTGTGTAGTGGGCAAAGCCACATTCCCTGGCTCTGGGGGGCTGAGGTGCTATGGAATGTGGACACTCTGACCCTCTGACTCTTCTAGTTCACAACTGTGTCACAGTCTTGAGGATGGAAGCTAGACCACCGGCTCCATCACTTTGACATGGACAGCCCCCCTGCTCTAGACCTCCATTGTGCAATATGATAGCCACTAGTCGTGTGATCTAGTTAAACTCAAGTTCATTAGAATTGCAAAAATTGCCACTTCAGTTCCACCTTTAATATGCTCAAGAGCTCTGTTGACATTCTCCCAGTGCCCCCTCAGTCTCACCTTGGCTAGCACCTGCTTTATTGAACAGTGGGAGAGCACTTCCATCATCACAGACATTCTGTTAGAAAGTGCTGGTCTAGGTCCTTGCTACTCAAAGTATGGTCTGTGGGTGGGCAGCCTCAGCATCCCCCAAGAGCTGATTGTAAATGCAGAATCTCAGTGTCATCCCAGACCTGCTCAGTCAGGACCTGCATTGTAACAAGATCCCCACTGTTATGTGTGCAGTGTTATGTATTAAACTTGAGAAGCGCTGGTCTACACCATACACCCCACATCTCCTGGACCAGAAGTTGTGCAGGACTAGGAACTTATTTTGAGGGCAAAATATGCCCACTGGCTGTTCTGTGATCAGCCCCTCTGCTGACACTGGATCCTTCTTCCGAATTTCTCAGCCCCCAACCCTGTCGGGAACCTGAGCGTGGAGGCTCAGACCACCAGCTCCATCACCCTGAGGTGGGATTCGCCCGATGACCCTGGCAGTCAGGACTACACCTACTGGATCCAGTGGACTGGTGATGGTGACAAACTTGAGAACAGAAGCACAACAAACACCAATGTCACTGTGGATGGACTGGAACCTGGGTCCTCGTATGAATTTTCCGTGTTGGCGGAGAAGAATGGAGTCTATAGCTCCTGGGAAACGCTCAATGCCACCACAGGTGACAGGCAGCCACCATTCACTTTCATTCATTCATTCTTTCTTTCTTTTTTTAATGGGAGGTGATATGTGTGGTGGAGAGTTGACAGGAGAATATGGCACATTCTGTCAGCCAGTGTACCTTTTGGTTCACGTTGAGCAGGAGATGAAGAAAAGGCATCTGAGGGGCCTCCAGGTTCTGAGAAGGGGGTCAGTCAGGGCCTAGGACTTTCTAGAATGCAGACCATAACAGGAAGGGTGTCTCTCCTTAGCAACCAGGGCTGTTTAGGGGGCCAAAGGCATATTCCCTGAGCTCTGGGGGTGGGGGCTGAGGTGCTATGGAATGTGGACACTCTGACCCTCTGACTCTTCTAGTTCACAACTGTGTCACAGTCTTGAGGATGGAAGCTAGACCACCAGCTCCATCACTTTGTCATGGACAGCCCCCCTGCTCTAGACCTCTGTTGTCCAATATGATAGCCACTGGTCACACATGGTTATTTAAATATAAGTTCACTAGAACTGCATAAAATTACAAATTCAGTTCCACTTTTCTCATGCTCAAGAGCTCTGTTGAGGGGCTCCCAGCCCCTTCCCAGAATCCCACTGGGCTAGTGCTTGCTCTATTGGGCAGTGGAAGAGCATTTCCATTTCTAGACATTCTCCTGGAAAGCACTGATCTGGATCCCTGCTGCTCATAGAGTGGGCAGCACCAGCATCTCCCAGGAACTGATTGTAAATGCACACTCTCAGTCCCGTCCCACACCTACTGAGCCAGGACCTACGTATTCACAAGAGTGAATTTCTTGCCAAATAATGGAAAATAAATTTGAAAAGCACTGGTCTAGACCATGCCGCTTTGCTGTGAGGAGAGGGTATGAGCCGGCTCAGATGTGAGCGTCCTTAGAATCCAGCCTCTTGAGCCTCTATCCTCACTTCTCAGCTCCCAGTGAAGTCACGGATCTGCAGAATGAAACTCAGACCAACAACTCAATCACTCTGTCGTGGGAGGCCCCCCAAGACCCCCATTCTCGTCTCTACATATACTGGGTCCAGTGGGCCAGTGAGGGACATCCTGAGAGGGGGCAAGGTCTCCAAGGACTTCAGACCAACCAGACAGGCAGGATCAGGTATGAGGTGAAGGCCCTGGAGCCCGGGACTCTGTACACCTTCAGCGTGTGGGCAGAGAGGAACAATGTAACCAGTTCCAAACAGAGCCTCCACGTGTCCACAGGTGAGATGGGCCTCCTTTTACCTGTGGAGGGGCTTAGGTCAGACCTTGGGGGCAGTGAGGGGTGCGTGGACTACAAATCCCATCAGGCCATGGGGGTCATGACTTCATAAACTGCAGTGATATAGAGGGTCCAAAGGCTCATGGGAGTTGCAGTTTGAGGGGACCTGTTGTGTATCCATTTGAAGACAACAGGAAATGAGGGATGGGGAGGTATTTTGGTTTGGGGGAGGGAAAGGATGGGCAAGTTCTCAGAGAATCGGCATCACTGGTGGTGAACATGGGGAGGGATGGAAAGCCACCTTGAATGTCTCCTACTGACTCCTCTTGTCCCTTCCATCCAGTTCCGGATCCCGTCACCATCATCTCCTGCATCAGCATCCCTGGGGGCTATGGGGTCATCCTGACCTGGTCTTGTCCCCCAGGAGGCTACCAGGCCTTTGAGTTGCAGGTGGGTGTGCAGCGGGACTCCCAGGACAATTCCTCCTGTGAGAAGGGCGTGTCTGTGTCGGGTCTGCAGCCAGCTCGGTCCTACCCAGCCACCGTTACGACTGTCTGGGATGGAATGAGGGCCCTGCCTGTCTCCGAGATCTGCCACACCGACAGTGCAGGTGAGCAGAGTCCCACAGGGACAGAGGGCTTTGGTGAAAGTCTCTCTAGACCCCCTCAGGCTCTGTTGTGAGGGAGTCTCACCAACACATGGGGGCCTTTTGGCTTGTTTGTGTTTTGTTTCCTGCCATTTTAAAACAGCTTTATTGAGATAGAATTCGTATAACATACTGTTCACCCTCTTAAAGTGTACAATTGAGTGGCTTCTAGTCTATTCCCTGACTGTGCAACTATCACCACTATCAACTTTAGAATCATCTCATTATTCCATAAAGAAAAATCATCCCCTTTAGCCATTGCCCCTTAATTTTTCCCCAATTCCCTAACAACCATCCCATTGGCAATCTCTAAATCCACCTTCTGTCTCTATAGATTTACCTATTTTGGACTTTTCCTAAAAATACAATCATGCAATATGTGGTCCTCTGTGACTGGCTTCTCTCGCTTAGTATCAAGTTTTCAAGGTTCATCCATTTGTAGTGTATATCAGTGCTTCATTACTTTTCTTGCCAAATAATATTCCATTTTATGGATAGACCACATTTTGTTTATCCGTTCATCCGATGATGGATCAGTTGGGTGGTATCCACTTTGTGACTATTATGAGTAATGCTATTATGAACATTTGTGTACACATTTTTGTGTGGATGTATGTCTTCATTTCTCTTGGGTATATATCTAGCAGTGGAATTGCTAGGTCATATGGTAACTCTATGTTTAACCATTTGAACAATTGTCAAATTTTTTTCCAACATGGCCGCACCATTTTTCACTCATCGGTGGGGTATTTGAAGATGTTCAAACTTCATGCTCAGGAAATCTTTGATCATGTACCATTGACCATGGTCATAGGCTTCCCTGGACCCCATCAGTCGCTTCCTAGGAATCAGAGCTTCTTATAAGATTGAGTCTCTGATCTGGAGAGAGACTGAAGGTTGATGAAATGATAAATGGATGCCACTCCAAACTGGGTTTCAGTGGATCCCACTGTCCAGGAGTGTCTCTCGCTTAGCAAAAAGTGTCTCTGAGAGCACAGATCCTCTTGGATCTTGGGCTGGGTCACTCTCTGCATCAGGGGGCTGTCCTGTGCATTGTCAGATGTCTAGCAGCATCCCCAGACTCCACCCATTAGATGCCAGTGGCACCACCACCCTAGTTGTGACAACCAAAAATGTCTCCAGACATTGCCCGCTGTCTCCAGGGGGCAAAATCACTCACACTGAGAACCACTAGTCTAGGCCAAGGAGGGGAGAGTCAATCTTCAGGAGCCACGTCACCTGAAAAATGATGTCTTTGGATCAGGCTCCTCGGGAACCAAGAGTCTGAGAGGAAAGGTTGGGTGGGAGGTGAGGCTTTATCCAGGAAGTTTCTCCTTTCCCTTCTCTGCCCCTGCGTCTACGCTGTAAGCCCTCTGGTCACACTCTGAGCAAGGATGGACCTAGGAGAGTTAGGACATCAGGCGACAAGACCAGGGCTCTAATGCTGCCCATGCTCCCTCCCCCAGGGGTCATCGCCGGAGCCATTATTGGTGTCCTTCTGCTTCTCATCCTGGTGGGCCTACTGGTTTTCTTCCTGAAGAGGAGGTGAGACTTGACGCAGGACTCACACTATCTGGAGGGTGGGGGCTGGGGGAAGGATGAGGACCCCTGGGTCCATCCTCGCTCCCTGAGCCTTGCATCCCAACATCCTTTTCCCAGACGTAAGAAGAGTGAGAAGAAAGCAGCGCCCATGGATCCGGACTGTTGGTGAGCAGGAGGTTTTGGGGAGCATCCAAAAGAGTCACTCTCAGGTCAAATCAAGGGGTGCTTGCTGGTCACTGGATGGGTTAGAGGGCAGGGTCAGTGAATCCACACACGCAAGCCTAATGACCTCTGTGACAGGGATCACCTACTGTGTGTCAGGCACTGTTCTAGGTACCAAGGAAACAGTGAGTTAAGCGAAGTTTCCTGCCCTCATGGAGAGTACATTCTAGCACAAGAGAACATTAATAAAAAAGACAATAAAGAATGTGACATTTACCTGGAGACAAATTAACAGGAAGGGTAGAGGACTATTTTACAGAGGGTGTCCAGGAAAAGCCTTCCTAAGACGATGATTAAGAGGAAGTCATTTGAGCACAAACTTGAAGCAAGTGAGGGAAGGAGCCATGTGCACATCTTAGGGGAAAAGGCATTTCAGACAGAGGGACCAGCAGGTGCAAAGGCCCTGAGGCAGGAGCATGAATGAAGGGGAAGGTAGAAGGTAGTAGGAAATGAGGTGAGAGAGGTATCAGGTGGGGCCAGTTAGGTAGGACCTTATAGATTAAAGTAAGGACTTTGGTTTTATTCTGAGATAAGAGTTTTGGGAGGGTTTTGAATAGACCAGTGACACAATCTCACATATTTAAGAAGCAAAGGCAAAAGCAGGATGATAGAAGAAGAAGCTTGTAATAATCCAAACAAGAGGTGATGGGGTCTTGAACCAGGAAATGTATAGAGGTGGTCAGGTTCAAGATATAGTCTGAGTGTTTAAACAGCAGATCTGTAAAGGATGGATGTGTGGTATGAGATTCAGAGAGGGCTCAAGAGTGACTCTAAGGAATTTAGCCTGAGCACCAGGAAGACTGGAATCTCTGCTGCTTGAGATGAAATGACTATGGGCGAGCAGCTTGAGGGGAAAGTATCTGGAGCTCAGTTGTGGACACATTAAGTTTGAGATGCTTGTTGGACATGCAAGTGGAGACGTTGAATGGGCAGTTGGATCCACAGTTCAATGGTTCAGGAGAAAGTTTGTGCAAATTCTTCATCGTTCTGAGTCCTCTTTAGATCAGGTCAATAATGTCAAATCTGTATGTTAGAAAAACGCCCAGGGATTGATAGAGGAGAGACGGGACAGGGAAAGGAGGGAAGTTGGGAGAACAGCTGTGATGGCCTGGGCGCAAAAGAATGAGGGGTAACCTGAGGCAGTGGCCATCAGAAGCAGATGCACAAGGTAGACCAAATACAGGCGTGGGGAAGATGATGTCCAGTTTCTTCTTTGCCGTGGAATCTGTCCTGGCCCGCATCCCACCCCAATAATGTTGACCTCCTGCCACCTTACCCTGTGCCTATCTGCTTTGTGTGGCATCTGCAACAAGTCACTGCATTCACTGGATTCCAAGTCTGGCCCTGTCTATATGTTGAGCATTTCCCCATCCCCAACCTCCACATGCATGTTTGGATGTCCCCGTTATAATCCTCCAGGACATCCAGGTGAAGATTCCAGGAGGTGGGTGGGAAAATGGATCGGAAGCTCGGGAGAGTGAGAAGTAGGAAATGGCGAGAGAAATTCAGAAATCACAGATGTACAGATTTGAAGGTGAAGCTACGAAAGTGGACAAAGCCCATAAGAGGTGTGTGTCCAGTGAGAAAAGGGGGCTTGAGGGTGCAGTCCCAGAAACAGCCACCTTTTAAGATGAACAGAGGAGGAGGAGACGGAGAAGCAGTGGCCGGAGAGGTGGTGGCGGTGGTGCAAAGCAGGATGGGATCACAGATCCAGAAAAAGGGAAGGAGCAGTCCTGGGTGCGGAATGCCGCCATGCGGTCACCTGAAGGACCGACTGAAGGGGACTTGGAATTAGAGATGAGGAGGCTGATAAGATAAGGGGACTTTGGAAAAAGACGTTCCCCTGGAGCAGTGGTGTAGACACCAGGCCACCGTGAAGTGTAGAAAGGAGGTGGAGGAAACTGGTCCCTGCGAGAAGTCCGAATGTGAAGAGGTGTTGTAATAGGTTTTATCATCGTTTAGTTATGATAAGGCCCACAGATCAGAGGTGAGTGCCGTTGAAAAGATGGTTTATTACACATCATGCAGAGCCGCATGGGAAGCACCAGGGCCGGTCGGGAGCAGAGGGAGGTGGAAGAGACCTAGCAAGAGCCTTTATTTAGGTTTCTGGAGGAAGGAATGGGCAATGCAAGGCAAGCAGTCTTAGTCTGAATGAGTTCAGCAGCCTCTGGGCCCTAGGGGTTGTCCCTATGGTTTTCTGGTACCTGCCTTGGGGGGATGAGGGCAGGTGAGTGGGCAGTGGCCCAGAGTGTGACATCCTGATAGAGATGGCGGTGAGGATGTGAATTTAATCAGCTGCTCAAGAAGGGGAAGTGACTGGCGTCCAGTCCCAGCTTCGAAACCGAGTCAAGACATTGTTCACAAGATTATATTCCATGGGGAAGAGAGAGAAAGAGCTGCAGGAGGAGCTTCATGAGGTCCAAAGATTTTTTTTTTATATAGAAGAGAGATTAGCCTGTTTACAAGTAAAAGGGAAAGAGGAGCGGGTGGGGACACAGAAGTGAGGGAAGGACTGATGGCTGGAGAAGGTGGGAGGGAATGGGAGCCCAGGAGAAAGGGAGTGGCCCTAAATGGGAGAAAAAACACCTTTTCTTTTTTTTGAATTAAAAACAATTTAATTGTGGTAAAACACACATAACTTAATATTTACCATCTTAACCATTTTTAAGGGTGCAGTTCAGCAGTGTTAAGTACATTCACTTTATTGTGCAACTGTCATCGCCATCCGTCCACAGGACTCTTTTCATCTTGCAAAACTGAAACTCTGTCTGCATTAAACCCTTACTCCGTATCCCCCCTCCTCCAGCCCTGGCGCCCGCCCTTCTACTTTCTGTCTCTATGAATTTGACTCCTCTAGATACCTTATATAAGTGGAATCATACAGTATTTGTCCTTTCGTGACCAGTTTATTTCACTTGGTGCAATGTTCTTCAGGTTCATCTGTGTTGTAGCATGTGTCAGAATTTCCTCCCTCTTTAAGGCTGAATAGGATTCCATTGTATGGATAGACCACATTTTGCTTGTCCATTCATCCATCAGTTGGACAGTTAGGTTGCTTCCACCTTTAGGCTGTTGTGAATAATGCTGCTATGAAATGAGCACACAAACATCTCTTTGAGACCCTGCTTTCAATTCTTTGGGGTATACAGCCGGGAGTGGAATTGATGGATCAAAAATACCTTTTTTGATCCAGCCATTCCTCTTCTGAGTATTTATCCAAAGGAAACAAAATCACTATCAAAAGACATCTGCATTCGCATGTTCATTGCAGCATTATTCACAACAGCCAAGACTTGGAAACCACCTAAGCATCCATTGATGGATGAGTGGATAAAGATGTGGTGTATATATGTGATAGAATATTACTCAACCATGAAAAAGAATGAAATCTTGCCACTTGCAACAATGTGGATGGACCTTGAGGGCATTATGCTACGTGAAATAAGTGAGACAGAGACAGACAAGTACTATTCGATCTCACTTATATGTGGAATCTAAAAAAACCCAAACCAAACAAAATCGAGCTCATAGATGCAGAAAACAGATTGGTAGTTGCCAGAGGTGGAGGGTGGAATTGGTGAAAGTGGTCAAAAGGTACAAACTTCCAGTTATAAGACAAATAAGTTCTGGGGATGTAAAAAATAAACAAACAATGAAAAAACAACTTTTCTTTTATCCCAAGAGAATAGGATTAAAGGAGGTTAAACTCTTTGGCTCCCCACCCACAGCTTTACAGGGGACATCCAGGCAGAAGACTTCGCTGACCATGTCAGGGAAAATGCGAAGGACAGCAACTGTGGTTTTGCAAACGAGTACCAGGTAGAGTGGAACAGAGGAGGCTGATCTGAACCCCACCAGCCCACCCCAGACCTTTCACACCTTTGGGATTAAACAGAACCAGCGACACATACTTTGTTGGCTGACACAGAAATTCTCAGGCATGATTATCTCTTGACTCATTAAATCTTACACTAAAGATGGGTCCTTGGGTCAGTCCTAAAGAAACACCTATGTTTTCCTCTGCCACCTTCTCTCCCACCCATCTCTCCAGTCCCCAGTGTCCCCCCAACCCTCCCAAATGCCCCGCAGGGATGGTGGTACTTGTACATTCCATTTTTATGGGTGGCATAGAATTCCAGGGTGCAAGGGGCAAGGGGAGCAGCAGGGGTGTGCCCGGCAGAAGGTGGAGAAATTCTAATGTCCGTGCATCCCTGCTGTGCCTCTGCCCCCAGCAATTGGCCCTGGAGGGCCACAACCAGTCTCAGACGGTGGCCTTAGCTCCAGAAAACAGCGCCAAGAACCGTTACAGAAACGTGCTGCCCTGTAAGTCTCAAGCCTCTATGATTTTGTCCCCAATTGTGACTTTGTCAACACCCCATCCCTGGTCCCATCCCTTATCCCCTGTGAGAGACAAAGCTCCTGCCACCAGTGAGCTGAGAGCCCCCTGACGTTCTCCTCCCAGCTGAGGTCCCTCTGTCGCTCTCCGAGCTCCCAGTGTCTGTATGCACCTCGGCATGACTTTCTGTCCTTGCGTCTCAGTCTTGTCTCCATGCCTCTCTGAGTCTCTCCGGGTCTCTCGCCCCTCTCTCTGCATTGCTAATGCTGGCCTCTCCCGGTAGATGACTGGTCCCGCGTGCCCCTGGAGCCCCTCCATGAGAAGCCAGGCTCTGACTACATCAACGCCAGCTTCATACCTGTAAGGTTGTGGTTGGGAGCTGGGAGGATGCTGAGTGAGCCAGAGAAGATAAAGGTCTGAGGGGGTCATGATTTGCCTCTTTTTCTCAACCAGGGTCTCTGGAGTCCCCAGGAGTTCATTGCAGCCCAGGGCCCCCTGCCCCAGACCGTGGGTGACTTCTGGCGCCTGGTGTGGGAACAGCAGAGCCACACCTTGGTCATGCTGACCAACTGTGTGGAGTCCGGCCGGGTGAGAGGAGACCTGGCTCCTGGGTGCTGACCCTTGAGCTCCAACCTGTGACCCTGTCTGGGACACTGATCCCAGTGTAGACCTTGACCCAGACCTCACTCATTCCCTCCAATATGACCCCAGCCTCTTCCATCTCCCCCAGTCCATCCACTGGTCCATGTATGGGGCGAAGCTGATCCCAATGACCTTGGGAAGGAGCGGTCCTCTGGGCTGGGATGAATCTACTCCTGGCTGCCTGTGGGTCTTGCCTCATGGCTGGGGCGGGAGGGATTCCCCGGCACTGAATGCAAGAGCCACAGTGCAGAGGGGTATCGGGGTAAGTTCTCTGGGGCCTCGTGTCTCTGACCCTCCAGTACTCCCCAGGTGAAGTGTGAGCATTATTGGCCTCTAGATGCCCAGCCCTGCACCCATGGGAGCCTACAAGTGACCCTGACGGATGAGGAGGTGATGGAGAACTGGACAGTACGAGACCTGAAGCTTTGGCACGTAAGTCCCCCCGCCTGACCAGCCCTGTCTTGGCCCTCAATTCCTCCCCATGACATTCCAGGGCAGCCCCTTCCCCAGAATTTCCCATGAAGTCTAACCTTCTATCACTCCCCCAAGGGACCGCGGTGTGCCCCAGGGATGCCCCAACCAGTCAGAAACCAGCCGCCCTGGTCCTCAGCTCTCCCTCCCCAACCCGCCTTCGGTTTAGATGCAAGAGCAGAAGGCTCTATCTGTGCGTCAGTTCCACTACATGACCTGGCCAGACCATGGCGTCCCCCACTCCCCAGACCCCTTGCTGGCTTTCTGGAAGATGCTCCGGCAGTGGTTGAACCAGACCATGGGGGGAGGCCCCCCCATCGTGCACTGCAGGTGAGGACCCCCTCCCTGTGAGAGAACCACCCCCTTGGGACTCAGAAAACAGGAGTATCTGGGTCTTCGGGAACTTGTAGAGGAAGGAGACAGAAGCGAGGAGAAGGAGATGGAGGTGATGGAGGCAGAAAGTAAGGGGGCAGTGAATGAGGATAAGGGTGAGAAGACGGGAAAGAAAGAGGAAAAGGTTGAGGAGGAGCAGAAGGGAGGAAGCAGTGAAGGGGAGGAGCGGAGCGGACAAAGATTGTGAGAAACATTTGAAACACCTCTTGGGCTCCTGGGCTGGGTCTTGCTCATCTACGGAAGCCTCCATAGATGAGATTTCACTAAATGCATCCAGGAGGGGGATGAGGAGGGGCTTGCTCCTGAATGACAGCCAGCCTCTGAAATGGGAGCCCTGCTTTTGGTGAGAGTTGACACTCAGGGAACACAGACATGTGTCGGTTCTGTGATGGAAACCTCACAGCCACAGTCTTGCTGATCCTCAGTGCACCCTCATGACCAAAGGGGCTCCTCGTCGTGGCAGAGCTAAGGAGACAGTCAGAAAACTCAAGTCACCGGGTTCAAGGCCAGTAGTAAGCGGCCAAGCAGATGTCCATGGTGGCGCTCTTCATCTCTCTGCTGAACTGTGTCCTAACACCTGCCCTGTCCCCAGATAGTACCCTCTGGATGTGTCCCCAGCAGAATGTCATCCCTTCCCCCAAGTGCAGAAGGGAATCTTGCATGTGGAGGTTAGGACGATTAGCTTGAACCATAAAAACAAATGAAGCACTGATTCATTCGATGACGTGGATGGACATGGAAAGCAGCATGTTGGGTGAAAGGAGCCAGACACAAAAGGTCACATAGCGCATGATTCTCTGTACACGAAATGTCCCCAAGGCAAAGCCACATAGCCAGAAGACAGATTGGTGGTTGCCAGGGGCTGGGGAGAGCAGAGAATGGGGAGAGACTGATAACGGGTATGGGGTCTCCTTTTGGGGAGATGAAAGTGTTCCAGAACTAATTAGAGGTGGCCGTGCGCAACATGGTGAAGTACTAAATGCCACTGCATTGTTCACTTCAAAATGGTTAATTTTATGTTTAAAGAGTTTTTTCTGGATTATCAGCTTGGGAATTCATCTTCCCATGCGTGAACCCCCAGCTCTGTCACTTATTAGCCGAGTGACCTGGGACAAGTGACTTCACCTCACTCAGCCTTCATTGCCCCATCTGTAAAGTGGACATGCAGATAGCTCCTACCTCTCAGGCACGGGAGGAGCGAAAATGCACCTTGGGACAGGGCCTAGCTGATGGAAGGAACTCAGGGCAGAGTTGTGTGTAATTAGTTTCCGCTTAATTAAGTAACCTCCACTTACAGTGTATCCCCAGAACAGTGTCTCCCTGAATAATACCATGAGCCCTGGGTGCTCCCCAAGCAGACCCCTCCAGTCAGCTGAGACTCCCCCCTCCCGTGGCCTCACCCCTTCTTGTCCCTGCCTAGTGCTGGTGTGGGCCGCACGGGCACCCTCATCGCCCTGGACGTCCTCCTGCGGCAGCTGGAGTGTGAGGGTCTCGTGGGGCCCTTCAGCTACTTGAAGAAGATGAGGGAAAGCCGGCCGCTGATGGTGCAGACTGAGGTGATGGGGCTCCTGAGGGGCACAGGGCAGGGTGGGGGGGGGGCCTGGTGGAAGGCAAGCCAAGCCTCAGGAGGGCACCCCTAACCCCGTGGGGCCCCTCGCCAGGCCCAGTACGTGTTCCTGCACGAGTGCATCCTGCGGTTCCTCCAGCAGTCCTCCCTAATCCCAGCCAAGAAGGAGCCCATGTATGAGAATCTGCTCTACAAGAATGTGGCCGCCATCCAGGCCGAGCAGCAGGAGGCATAAGCTGCAGGAGGGCTGAGACCCCAGCCCAGCTAGGATCAAACTCTGCATCCCTACTTCACCCCAGATTCCAGGACCCCTGGGAGAGCAGAGGGCTGGGGTCCCAGACTCCTGGGCCCTGCAGGAGGAGGGGGCTGGCAGTCTAAACTATTTCCTTGGGGGAGGAGGTCAGGTGGAAGCTGGGATGCTGGATTCCTGCTTCCTCAGAGGGGAGGGATGGGAGCAAGGATTTCCTCATTCTTTGAGGGAGGAGGACCCCGGAGGCCCGGGCTGCAGGGTCTCAAGGAAACAAGCTGAATTCCAAGGAAGGAAAGAACTAGGGTCTGGAAATCTGGCTACCCAAGGAGCAAGGGCAGGCAGGATCTTGCTCATCTTTTACTCGAGAAACAAAATCAGTCTTCCAGGGTCTGAGGTTTCCCTGCACCTCATTGCCTGTACATTTTTTTTTCTATCCCATAATTTATTAAATCACTGTTCTCCCCAGAGACACTTGCCCCAGTGGATTTATGGGTCTGGAAATAATATTGGCGTGGGGGTGGAGGTGGGCTCCTAATGTTTCGGTATTGAGGCAGACATCCTAGAGGGACTCACAATTTTGCACCCGAAAAAACAGAGGTTTGGATGGTTGAGTTTCTCAGTGAAGGCTGGAGGTCCAGACTTCTGTGTTCAGGGTCTGGGCAGTGTGGACGCCGTTCCCTGGAACTAGGAGCGTGGGGACTTGCCTTCTGGGCCTGGCGATATGGGAACTTAGAGGGTGGGGTGATGTCTGGGACTGATTTGCTGGAGACGTTCACGCCAAATCTCCTGTCTGGGTATCTGATCACTAATGTCTCCGGAGAGGGTCTCCTGGGTCCTAGGACCAGGTATCCTGGTGCCCGGTTCTTTGGGCAGTACCGAGGGTGCGGAGGGGGGGGCTGGAATAGAAGGCGGAAAATCCTGGGGGACCAGGATAAACATCAGTGGGCGCCCTGGTGGTTCCCGGCTCGTGGGCGGGACGAGGGGCGGGGCGGGACTCTCCACCTACCAGGGACGGAACACGCATGCGCGCGCACACGCCCTCTTTCTTTCTTTCTCTGTTTCTGTCTGTCTCTGTCTCTTTCTCTGTCTCTCTCTGTCTCTGTCTGTCTCTGTCTGTCTGTCTGTCTGTCTGTCTCTCTCTCTCTCTCACACACACACACACACAAATCGGCCCGGCTCCGCCCAGCCGCGCCCTGGCCCCATCGCGCTCCGCGATCAGCACCCAGGACAGCGCCAGCCGCCCGCGTGCGGGGGCGGGGTCCGGGCGGGGCCGGCGCCTCAGTGTCTCCCGGGAGGGTCCTGTCCAGCCGCTGAGCAGGTAGGAGCCTCTGGGTCCCGCTCCCTAAGCCCCAACCTCATTCCCATCCCTAGAGAAATGGGATGTGTGTGCATGTGGGGGGGACACTGGGAAGGACCAACAGAGGGAGTAGGAGGGCTGGATCCTGAAACGGGGAGATTGGGATTTAGACACAGGTGTGGAGACAAAGAGCCAGAGGGGAGGGAGGAGCAGGCGGGGGAGAGACCCCGGGAAACAGGGACCAGACAACAGGCAGAGAGCGAGAGAGACACAGACGGGAGAGGGGCGAGGGACCGATGGGGGACGGACAGAAATAGAGAAGACCTCGATTTGGAGTCAAGAGAGAGAAGAGGAGGCCGAGGCAGTCACGAGGACAGGTGTGAAGACAGAGCTAGGGATGCAAGGGAGAGACAAACAGGCCGAGGAGGATGTGGGCCCAGCAGAGCAGCAAGGTAGCCCCCTGCCCCCTACATTCCCCGCAAGAGTGGGAGGAGGGGGAAGCCTGAATCTCCGCTCCTAGGGCCAGATGTGGAGGGAGGAGGCAGCTGTAGGCTCATGGACCAACTGGCAAGGCCGCCCCCTCCCCATCCTCGCTTGTCCCGGGATCCGGGGCTGAGGTATCAGGCCCGACGGGGCTCGGAGGGAGCCTGCTCGAGCCTGCCCCGCCCAGACTCAGCCTCTGTGCGTAAGCCCCGCCCGTTGTCTTGGCAACAGACCGTTGCCAAGGTAACTAGCGTTGCTCCCACCCCGCCCGAGTGGAGCCAGCCGTTGCTCTGGGCAACCCGGTCCGCTAGTTCCCACGCCCGCCTTTGCCCATTTCCGGTTCAGGCCCTGGGGAGGGACAAGGAAGAGGGGAAGTCAGTGGGATTCCTGGGGCGGGGGGGGGTCCTAAGAGGGAGAAGGCGTCCCTTTGGGATGGAACTAGCTCCTGGAGCCCACCTCCAGCGCCCGCCCTACGTCGCTGGGAAGCTGAAACCACAACCCCCAGCATGCCTCCCGGCGGCTTGCCGATTCCTGTGCGGCTGGTCGCCCAACGTGCCGATGGGAGTTGGAGTTCTTTGTTGTTCGAAGGACTCAAGGGACGCACGGGGTGGGCGTGGGGGGCTAGGGCGCTTGGGTGCCTTCGCAGAAAGGACTGTGAGAGCCCGCCGCCATGTTCCCGGAGCCCTCAACCCCCGGGCCTCCAGCGCCTGACACACCTCCTGACTCGAGTCGCATCAGCCACGGCCCTGGTGAGCAAGACCTGGGTCGAGAGCGGAGGGAAACCGCAGCCAGGATTCTCCTGGGCGGGATTCGGTCCGGGCGTACTCGGGCTGGCGGGCTGGAAAATCCGGGTGGGATCGTAGTCGGAATCCTGGACTGCAATCTAAATGAAATGGAAAAGGAACAGGTTTGCAAGAAAATCAAGAACCAGATCAAGGGATGTGAAATGGAACGGAATCTTGGATGGATTGGTGAATTGGAAGGTCCACCTCTCCCTTCTTTTAAAGACAGGGAAACTGATGCCCAGGCAGGGGTTAAGGCTTCTAAGAGCATCGGGAGTTGAGCAGAAATTAGAAAGCGGGTGGAAGGGGAGGTGGAACTAATAGGCAAGAAAATCTGGACGGTATCAGCCTGGATTAGGGCATCAAATTGCTTTATGGGTGAAATCAGTTGGAAGGAAAACACGGTATGTGTGTGTTGGGGGGGAATGGAGTGCAAATGGCTGGAGGGAAAACAAGGTCAGGATTACAGCTTCGACGTGTAATCCAGACTGAATCAGCCAGGCTACTTCCTAGGGCTCAGTGTTGTCTCCGTGCCCTCCGCAGTGCCCCCCTGGGCCCTGGCCACAATCGTGCTGGTCTCAGGCCTCCTCGTCTTCAGCTGCTGTTTCTGTCTCTACCGGAAGCGTTGTCGGAGGAGGATGGGCAAGAAGAGCCAGGCCCAAGCCCAGGTCCACCTGCAGGAAGTGAGGGAGCTGGGCCGCAGCTACATAGACAAGGTGTGGCTGGCCCAGCCCCTCAGCCCTATCCTTTTCTGCACCCCTGCTCCTCATCATGGCCCAGCAACCTCAGTCCCCACTCCCTTCCCTCCTACGCCCACCTTATTGCCTCATCTCCCGTATGTGCCTCGCCCTAAACTGGACTCTGGGAACCTGGAGATGGACCAGACCTAGTCACTGTTCACAAGAACCTCCAGTCTGGTGGGGAAGTCAGACACACTCAGTCACAGTACAGGGTGGTGTGTGCCCCATTAGGGCAATATGGGGCATATGGGAGTGCAGAGAAACCACCTGACAGCCTGGAGGGTCCGAGAAGCCTTCCCGGCGGTGACTTCTCTACTGAGACCCAAGGGGCACACAGAGTTAACTGAGGGCAGAGAGAAGGACATTCCAGCTCAGATGTGCTGAGGCCTGGCATCTAGATTCTGAGGCCTATTTGGAGAACAGTCATTTTTCACAATAGCTGGGGCATAGAATATAGATATACTTCGCTCTAGAATGAGGCGTCTGGAGAATTCAGCAGTATCTACACATAATGAGGGTGACTGGGAGCCGTGGAAGAGTTTTGAGCAGCAGAGGGACAGGGTCAGATGGGTGTTAGGATGAATACTCTGGAACACATATGGAGGGCAGATTTGGGACAAGGAGACCAGGGAGGAGGTTGTATGGCAGCCTTGAGAGGATGAAAGAAACCTGGGTTGGAAGAAGCCATTCGAGTGGAAAATAAAAGGCTACACGTGCAAGGATCTGAGCATTAGGCCGCTGAATGCAGAGTGGAATGGTGCTCACCTGGGAGCCAGAGAGTCCTAGGTTTCCAACCTAGAGGAACCAGCTGTATGACCTTGGGAAATTCACTGTCTCTGAGCCCTAAGTTCGTGGTCCCTAACTAGTATTTCCCCCCGTCCCTTCTCAACAAATAGCTGTTATAATTATTACCCATAAGGGATGCCCTTTAGGGTCCTGGTATCCACCACCCCTGTCCCTTAAGCCAGGGACTCCAGAGACCATCTGTATCAGAATCACCTGTGGGGCACTTGTTGAAATGCAAATTCCAGATCTTGCACCAGACCTTCTAAGTCAGAGTCTCTAAAGTGAAGTCATTTTACCACACTCCTTAGGGGAATTCTGATTCACATTGAATTTTGAAAATTGGTGGCTTAGGTTCAGGAGAAATCAATTATTGTAGTTTAGAATGGCAAATACACAGTAAATATGCCATTTCTCCATGTTTTTCTGTGGCGAGATCATTAATCAACATGGCAATGTGGACAACTACCCCAACACATCTACTAGCATGTGAAATAAAATCTCCTGCATCCCCCCTGAAGGCAATAAGACACTCTCAGCACTTGTTTTTCTAGTCTAGGCATGACAAACACACTGCATGTGTGTCCCCAGGTCTATTCCCAGCCCATAGCAGACATCACTAATCAAACATTGACAAAGGTACTGTAAGGAGTATTACCATGGCTAGTCCCTGCCTGTGGCAGACATCACTAGTCAAACACTGGCTCTGCTTAGCCTGCAAGTGCTCAGGTATAGTCCTGGAGATCTGTGAGCCTCCCTTGGCTTCTGGGCCTGGAGGTTACCACGATCAGGGGAAGAGTTCACATGCCCTTGCCCCTGGCTCCCTAAGGTGCAGCCAGAAGTGGAGGAGCTGGAGCCAGCACCATCTGGGCCAGGGAAGCAGGTGGCAGAGAAGCATGAGCTAGGACGCCTGCAGTACTCACTGGATTATGATTTCCAGAGTGGCCAGGTGGGTGTGGAGGAGGGGGATGCTTTGGAGGGGAGGGGCCCAGGGGTTCTAGCTCTTTCTTAGAGGAGGCTCCAGAAGGAGAGCTAAGACGAGGGTCCCCTCACCCCTGTACAGCTGCTGGTGGGCATCCTGCAAGCTGAGGGGTTGGCAGCCTTGGACCTGGGTGGCTCCTCCGACCCCTACGTGCGGGTCTACCTGCTGCCAGACAAGCGGAGGCGGCATGAGACCAAGGTGCATCGGCAGACACTGAACCCACACTTTGGGGAGACTTTTGCCTTCAAGGTGAGCTCCGGCCTCAGTGCCCCGCGCTCAGCAGCCTGCCCCCAGTCCCTGGAACACTGGGGACCGACCCCTTCAACTTTTTCTGGAGGCAGCCACATCTCAGGTGGCAGCTAGCAGCCCTCGAGACTATTCCACTGGACCCTGGGTTGTCCCTTTGGGGCACTGCTGTCCCCTGGGCTGTTCCCTTGGTCCTTGGGTGTCCCATTTGTCCCTTCTACCTGGATGCGCTGTTCCCCACTTCCTCTCTCTCTGACTTCCTCCTCTTCACCTTGTGCTCTCTTCTTTGCGCACCCCCTCACCCAGGTCCCCTACGTGGAGCTGGGGGGCAGGGTGCTGGTCATGGCGGTGTATGACTTCGACCGCTTCTCCCGCAACGATGCCATCGGGGAGGTGCGAGTCCCCATGAGCTCCGTGGACTTGGGGCGGCCGGTGGTGGCCTGGCGGGAGCTGCAGGCGGCTCCGCGGGAGGAGGTGAGCATGCGTGGACCACGCCCCCACGGCTGAGCCCGCCCACCACAACCCTGGGCCAATCAGGTCTCAGACCTCCCGGGCCCTTCGGTCCTTCCACCTGCGTGCGGCAGCGGGGTAGCTCCGAGCGCTCTTTTGGCAGGGCTTCGACCTTGTAGCCTCCCCTGCCCCTTGGACTGTACCACTGGGGTCTTAACTCTAGACCATTCTATTCCAAGGCGAGGGGGAGGGAAGAAAGGTCGGAGAGAAGATGGATGTGGAGGGGGCGCTGGGGTGATGGGTCCCTCTCCGTCTTTTAGCAGGAAAAACTGGGGGACATCTGCTTCTCCCTGCGCTATGTCCCCACTGCCGGGAAGCTCACCGTCATCGTCCTGGAAGCTAAAAACCTGAAGAAGATGGACGTAGGAGGGCTGTCAGGTGTGTGGGGAGCCAGGAGATGGTGGTGGTGGTGGTGGGGAGGTTCTCTGGCTACGGTGCTGGCAGTTTCTGGGCTCTGAGGGTCCCTTGGGGGAGAGGGAGGTCCAGGCTGCTGTGGGAGGATATGGATTCGACTTGGGCATGGAGAGAGGGAGACCTGAGGGTTGCATGGGGTGTCTCTATGTTGTTCTAAAGAAGCGTCTCACGCATTCCCCTCAGTCTGATCCCCCTGGACTCAACAGTGGGGAGGCTATAAAGACTCCTCCTCCCTCCCCCCAGATCCGTACGTCAAGGTCCACCTGCTGCAGGGCGGGAAAAAGGTGCGGAAGAAGAAAACGACCATCAAGAAGAACACTCTGAACCCGTATTACAACGAGGCCTTCAGCTTCGAGGTGCCCTGTGACCAGGTCCAGGTGAGCTCACACCTCCCCACAGCCCTGCCAGGACAGCCCTTCCCCCAGGGCCCCAGGCCCTTAGCAACGCCGTTGCTAGGGGAAGGGAGGCTCCTTAGCAACTTGCAGAGGCCAGGTCCTAGGGGTGTGAGGCTGTGTTGGCAATCTCAGTTTCCTCCTAGGAGGACCAGGGAGCCCCGCCCCTATGGGAAACCAGGATGCCCCGCCCCAGTAATACTCGGAAGCCCCGCCCCGCAAGGGAGACCAGGATGCCGCCCCGCCTCCCCACCTCCTCCACCGCCCCAGGAGCTATGGTCACTAAGAATAGAGATTTCCCCACAACTCTTTGGGGACAGGGCCTAGCCAGGCCTCAGGCCTGGCTTCTCCACCCATTTAAGAGTCCTGAAGGTTTGCCCCGCTTAGGAGGCTGCTCCCTAAAGAGGCTCCTAACAAACCCTTAGCAATGGGGTCCTGAGGGTTTATCTCCTTTGAAATCTGACCTCGCAGGAAGAGGGACTCCAGAGCATCCCCCTAACCGCAGGGCTCCCCGCCCCTCTCTCCTCCCACCCGCTCCCCCGTCTGAGCTCCAGGGAAGGCCCCCCGGAACTCTGGTTGCTAGGGAGAGGGTCTCCTCAGCAGTGATGCCCGACCCCCTCCCTGTGCCTCCTTCCTCCACTCTCCTGTCTCCTCTTCTCCCCTGCCCACCCCAGAAGGTCCAGGTGGAGCTGACTGTGCTGGACTACGACAAGCTGGGCAAGAACGAGGCCATCGGGAGGGTGGCCGTGGGGGCAGCGGCCGGTGGGGCTGGCCTGCGGCACTGGGCAGACATGCTGGCCAACCCCCGTCGGCCCATTGCCCAGTGGCACTCGCTGCGGCCCCCTGACCGAGTGAGACCGCCGCCTGCGCCTTGATCCCTACCCTCAAGCCCCTGACCCCAGACTCCTGGCCAAAGCCACGCCCAGGCCCACCTTTAAACCTTCTCTGACCGCTAACTGCCCACCCCCGACTCCTCCGCCCCAATCTCCTGATGCTTTCCTGCCTTCTCCCCCACCCCCATTATGCCAACCATGATAACTTGCCAACTTTCCCACCACGCACATACCCAGAAGCCCCTGGAACCCCTGGGGGAGGGGAGCAGTCTGCCTCCCCCCAGGGTTCAGCCCTCTGCTTCGACAATCAGTGATCCCAGCCTGCTATCCCCTTCGCCCCCAACGCCCCTCTTCCTGCACAAGATCACCCACTCCTGTCCCCGGTCTGCTTCCCGCATCACTCCTGGGACAAAATAAATACTCAGCAACGTTGGTGGCCTGGCCCCGTGCTGCTTGATGGGGGTGGGCAGGGGCGGGAGCCTCATCTTCAGCTGTGGGATCACACAAAGGCAGGGGTAGGGCTGTCTAGTCTGGACAGCCACTCATCTACCCACCCACTCACCTACTCACCCACTCACTCTCTTGCTCATCCATTCATTTATTCATTCACTCACCCCCCGTGCCTCAGTTTCCTCATCTGAAAAATTGTGATAATAATAATACCTACAGCATGTTTGCTGTGAGGAGTCGATGAGAGTTCATGTACATATGAATTGATCCGCTGTCTCCCCCATGATTTAAATAGACTTTTAGACTCATATTTCCCTCCCTCCCTTTCTTTCTTCCTTCCATCATCCATCCATTCTGTATTTCCCAAGGTCTTCTCTGTAACAGCTTCTGTTGGATGCTGGGAACCGTAAATTGATGCAAACCCAGGCTTTACCTCCAAGCAACTTACTCTCATCAAGGAAACAAAGTAGATATGCCGAGTGTGGGATTGAGGCCTCTCAGCCACCAAGTGACTGAGCGAGATGTAAACCCAGGCATGTCTGACACCAAAAGCCGCACTCGCAAGCGTCCTGCTGTCTGGTCCCCCAAATATAAAGTAGTGGGAGTCACAGAGTAGACTGCTGTGGCCATTCTGCTGGGAAGGCAGGAGAAAAACTCAGAGGAAGATCCCCAATGGAGTTGGAAGAGGAGCTGGGCTTTTCCAGGGGAAGAATGGGGGAAGATGTTAGAGAGAACAACGCAGATAATACAGACCTGGAGGCAGGAGGGGACTGGGTACGCTTCCCGTGGTGTGCTGTTACTGACTTTCTGAGGCCCTGGGGTGTAGTCTGCTCATTTCCATGGTGTAAATACTCCCACCGTGGCTGATTTTCAAGCCACCAATGTGAACTCACTGAATATGGGGTTAAGAAGAGATGTCTACTAGCACACTGTCATATACTATTTCCCAGGGCCAGGATGAGGGTCCCTAAATTTAGGGTGAAGCCAAAACAAAGCAAAACTCAGTAATCAAGATAAAAGTAATGCAATACAAAAAAATATACGTTTGACAAAATATAAAAATTTTAAAGACAGGATCTGACCCTGCACTTGGGCGACTCTGCCTCTTCCTAATCCTGGCCCTGGTTCTAATAAAACTTTATTTACAAAATAGACAACCCATGGTCGTAGTTTGCCAATTTGATTTTTTAAACTATTGCATTAAAGTAGTATTGCATTCATACAGATACAATAGATGTAAATAACTTTAAGAGCATCAATAATAGTGAAATAGGAAATGATGAGTTTTGAATATGCATTACTTTTATTTTAATGTAACGTATTTAACTGGAATTTAATTTTTAGTAATTAATTTAGTAAAAAAAATTAATTTTTAGTAATGACTGTCTAACAACCAGGTCATAAAATTCTTGAAAGTGTAACAACCAGGGGCCGGAGCTAGCTGGCCCCAGCACATTGCTGGGCTTCCCACCTGGTGAGAAACCCTGTGTAGTAGAGTCACGGTGTGAGGGGGAAAGGGGACACAGAATCCATAGTTTAAAGTCTAGGCCACCTCACTTTAATTTGGATTAATGAAGACTCTATTCCGTTCGGTCTAAATTTAAGACAGCCCGGGCCTCCCTCATCTCAGAAATTTGCACCGCCCCAGGCCCCGCCCCAGTTTCTTCCGGCCCCGCCCCTTCTCCTCCAGCACCGTCGTCATGACAACCGCGTCCACGCACCTTTCTCGTCCCTCAGCGTTCCCATTGGCCAAAAGTTTGTAATGGGCGTATCCCACTCACTCTCACTGGTCAGTTGATCGGGGCGGTGCCAGTCCGCATACTCCCATTGGCCGATTGATCGAAAAGGGCGGGGGCTATGGGCAGCAGTTGTGAAGGGGGCGCGGGACAGCTGCTCAGCACAGAGCAGGGAGGGAGGGGGTGTCCTGGGATATCTGGGAGGATAAAGGTGAGCGGGGTGTTACGTGGAGGAAAGGGGCGAGAAGTCAGGGGCGGTGAGTGGGGAACGGGTGGGCGATGCGGACACGATGTTTGGGGATTCCCAGGATGTCTGCCCCGCAGGGCGATGACCACACCGGCAGGCTCGGGCGCAGGCTTCGGCTCCGTGTCCTGGTGGGGCCTGTCCCCAGCGCTGGACCTGCAGGCTGACAGTGAGTCCCTCACCCAGGACCACAAATCGTCTGACCCAGCGGCTGCCTTCACAGCCTGGCAGACGGCTCGCTAACGTTCTCAGGCTCCAACGGCAGGAGGCCGCCCCCGAGTGGGCAGCCCAGGTGGCCTCTCTGCTGACTACGAGTCTCAGCATGCTTAGAGGCACAGCTCCCTTTGGAACCTAGGCTAGGGGCGCTAGTCCTGCTGGGAGGTGGAGTCCAACGCGCTGGGGCCCTGCAGGGGGGCCTCTCCAGGCCACCAACCCCAGCCTGCTGTAGTCTTGCCAGGTCCTCCCGTGGACCCAGACTCGGAGGCCAATACAGAGCACGAGATCCCCGAGCTAGATGTACTGCTGCTGGGATCCGTCGATGGGCGGCACCTGCTGCGAACCCTGGCCAGGGCGGCCCTCTGGCCTCGGAGAAGGTTCCGCGTGAGTTGGGGTTCTGGAGTGGTGGAGGGAGGAGGGTGAAGATGAGAGCCCAGATTCCTGAGTCCTTGAGGGAGGAGGGAGCTGGGGACCTGGACTCATGCATCCTGAGGAAGGAAGGGTCTCGAGTTGGGGACTCCTGGGTTCAAGTGGGAGAAAAGCCTGAGGACCCGTTTCCTGAATAGTAGTGGGGAGGAGGGTTCTGGGTGCCCAGACTCCTGTGTTGGAAGAGAGGAGGCTTGTGCACAGAACTCCTGGGTCCTGTGGAAGGAGGGGGCTGAGGTCTGCCACTCCTGGGTCTCCTAGGAGTCAGAGACACAGATCTCAGAATCACTCTGCCCTGTCCATCCTTCCAGTTCTATGTGCTGGAGAATAATCTGGAAGCTGTGGCCCGACACATGCTGATCTTCAGCCTAGCCCTGGAGGATCCTGAGAAGATGGGGCTGCAAGGTCAGTTGCAAGGACCCAGATATTCCAGTCCCCAGCCCTTCCCCTCCCTGCAGAGATTTCAATGGTGCAATTAAAACTTTTGGATCTTGTTCCCTATTTCATCACTTGTTCACTCGTTTGGCAGCCTTAGAGCCTCAGCTTTTCCCACCTGTGAAATGGGGCTAAAAATAATACCTCCTAGAGTCATTGAGAAAATTCCAGGAGAAAATCCACATGAAACTGTCAGAACAGTGCAAGACAGAGTGTAAGCATTCAAAAGCTCCTTCAGCAGGAGAAGCCCCAAAGAGATGAAGGGACTTCCTGAGAGGTGGTGAGTCCCCAAGATGTGGGGAGGGCTTGACTGAGCCAAGCTCAGTCCTGCCAGAAGCCTCCCTCAGGCCTGAGTCTCCCTCAGTTAGAGGTGTGACTCCCCGGGAGTTTGCCTGGAGGTGGCAGCCTTGGAAGCGAGACTGAAAGGAAGAGGAGGATTTGGACGGGGAGGCAGAAAGTGATTATTTCCCAGTAACCACAACTTCAGCTTAGTGCCTAGGGCAAAGTCTGGCCTCAGACAGGCTGTGTTCAAATTCTGGCTCTCCTTGCTGTGTGACCTTGGGCTAGCATCGATCCCTTTCTGGGCCTCAGTTTCTACATTTATAAAATGGGGATCCTAAAAGTTCTTCTCCCGTAGAATACTTGTGAGGATTCAGTGAACAGTGCATAGCTCCAGCCTTGTGATATAGACTCATAGCTCTCAGTGAGTATTATTCTTATCATGATCATGGATAGCAATGGTTATTAATAGCCCACGGCATTCAGAATACGTTGCACACATGTCACAATGCACTTTGTATAAAGCTCTTAAACAGCTAGAACTAAAATAGTCTAATCTATCTAACTAAAGGTATAGTTCTCCTTTACAAGGTTCTTAAACAACTAAATGAAACAACTTATATAAGGATTTAGATATATCGATATAGCTATATATGTGTATACGACTAAAGGCGTATAGTTCTCTCCTGTAAGATTCTTAACGAAAGTGAAACAATTTGTACTACAACATTTTAACACACAAATCTCTCCATCTCCATCTATATCTGTATATAACCTTTTCTTTTTGAAGGCAAGGGAAACTTAAACATGAAATTCAGCATTGGGGTTCCCTGGAGGGTGGGGAGGAACAGGCGCGGAGACAGAGGTGAGGTGTAAGTTATTCTCCATGTTCTAGCTGTTGGGATGTGTGGGGTTTGCCGGGGTCCGCTGTACTCATTATATGACTACGAAATAATAAGATTACTATAAAGAGGGTATGCGTCATCCACCTGGGTCTTATTTCTGGCCTCACCCCTCTGCTCCTCACTAATTTTTCTCCCCCCTCCCGGCAGAGAGGAGTGAGACCTTCCTGGAGGTGTGGGGGAACGCGCTGCTGCGCCCCGCGGTGGCCACCTTCGTGTGCGCCCAGGCCGACCGCCTGGCGCACCTGGTGCCGGAGCCCGACCGCCTGGCGGAGCAGCTGCCCTGGCTCAGCCTTGGCGCCCTCAAGGTGCCGCTGCCCGACCTCCGTCCCGTCAGCACCTGGGATCTGGGTGGCCCTGGGAAGAATGGAGACGGGCGGTCCAAAAGGGGTTGCGGTGATGGAGCGGGCTGGGGTCTCAGGAGTTCGAACCCCAGCTCCCCGGCTCCCGCTGTGGGATTTGGCCTTCGGGAGTGGCTTCTGCTCTCTGAGCCTCAGTTTCTTTATCTGAGAAAGAGGAGATTCGTTCCCGCGCCCTGGGGTGGAAGGGAGGGTCAAGCAGGAGAAGCCGCTCTCCCTGCAGCCCCCTCTCCCTCGCTGTCTCCCCACGCGTGCCTGGCCGCGCAGTTCCGCGAGCGCGACGCGCTGGAGGCCATATTCCGCTTCTGGGCTGGCGGGGAGAAGGGGCCCGAGGCCTTCCCCATGAGCCGCCTCTGGGACTCGAGGCTGCGCCACTACCTGGGCTCCCGCTACGACGCCCGGCGCGGTGTCAGCGACTGGGACCTGCACATGAAGCTGCACGACCGCGGGGTGAGGGGCCTGGGGGCCCTTAGTCCTGGGTGGGAAGGACGAGGGGCTGCAGGGCTGATCCTGGGTCTGAGGGAGGAGGGACTGGGGAGGCCCTGAGTGCTGGGTCTTCGGAAAGAGGGGCTGGGGGCCCATATTACTAGATTCACTGAGGCCTCTCTTCTTGCCTACCCCCTCCCCAGGCCCGAGTCATCCACACTCGCGAGTTTAGGCGCTGGAGGGACACAGGCGTCGCCTTTGAACTCAGAGACTCCAGTGCCTACCACGTGCCCAACCGGACCCTGGCGTCCGGTCGCCTCCTGAGCCACGTGCGTGTCCACTCCCTGCCCAGGCCAGGTCCTTCACTAGGGGGACCCGGGAGCCAGGATCCCGCACATCAACCTCACCCACCTCCTTCTCTCTCCCTGCTTTCCCAGCGCGGGGAGCGCGTGGCGGCGCGTGGGTACTGGGGGGACATCGCCACGGGGCCCTTTGTGGCCTTCGGCATCGAAGCTGACGACGAAAGCCTCCTGCGGACCAGCAACGGGCAGCCTGTCAAGGTGTGCGGCAGGCGGGGCTGGGGCTGGGGGTGGGTTCGCGAGCCTCTGCCCCCTCTGCTTTCTAAGCGAACCTGGAAATCCAAGCTCTCAGCCCCGCCCACGCGGTCCTAGCCCAGCGTCCGGCCACGCCCCTTCTCCCGCACAGTCCGCGGGCGAGATCACGCAGCACAACGTGACGGAGCTGTTCCGCGAGGTGGCCGCCCGGGGGCGCCCGAGAGCCGGCCAGGGAGCCCCCGAGGAGGAGGCGCGATGTGACGGAGGTGGCACCCGGGAGCCCGGTACGCAACGGACTCCGCTCTCCCCCTTGAAATAAGAGGCGGAGCTCGGGTGATAAAGTGAATACATCATCCTCTGGGAGAGGGTGGGACCCGGACCCCCTTCGTAGGCTTCAGTCTCTGAGTATTTCAAATCCGAGAGTGAGCTGATACGGTTTCTGATGCCTGGACAAACGACCGTCCCTTCCTGACATTCCGCCTCTTTTTCTCTCTTTTCTCTGTGTTTCTCTCCCTTTCCTAAATCCTGATGCCATTCTTAGCATTCTGGATTCCAATAGTGGAATTCTAATCCTACCCACAGAACTCTAAGAGGCTGAGAACATTCTACCAATGTGCTGGGCCCAGCTCACCTTGGGAGAGACCCCCAGCCCCAAATCTGGTCGTTAACTATCCCCCAGCCTGGCCCTCCCGGGTGTCTGGATGCCCTGTGTGGTCCTGGGCCTCCTGACGTCTTTCCCTCTCTTGAGTCTCAGTTTCCTGGTCTGTGAAATGGGTTTCTGCCCGCAGGGCCTAAGAGAAAGGATGAGAAAGGGCTTCGGGATAGACAAGGGAGTGTTATCTCCAAGCTTTGTGTGTCTGCCTGACTCTGCCAGTCTTCCCCGGCAGCCCCCGGCCCGGAATCCTTCACTGTCCACTTCCTGCCCCTCGGTTCTGCCCAGACCCTCCACCATAAGAGCTGCTACAAGGGACGGTTCCAGCTTCTCTACGTGTCCTGTGGGTAAGAGGGCCCAGGAGGTCCCCAGACTTCCCTCCCTGAGCCCCTCTTCCCTCAGGCCCCGGATCTCAGGCCCCCAGCCCCTCCTCCCTCAGACCCAGGAGTCCAGGCCCCCAGCCCCCTCCTCCCTCAGTGTCCAGGTTCCTAGCCCCCTCCTCCCTTAGGACGTGGAAGTCTGAGCCTCAGCCCTCCCCTTTTCTCCCCGAAGGATGGTCCATCTTCTCAGCCCTGAGCTCGGGGCCTGCGTGGCCCCCCGAGGACACCTGATTGTGGAATTAGCCCGGTAAGCCAGTGGAGCCCAGGGCAGGAAAGGTCCAGGCTGGGGACCGAATGCCGGGTCCCCTAACACACCACTTCCTGGTTTCAGGTATCTGGTGGACCTGCGGCAGGAGCAGCTCCGGGGGTTCTCCACCCGGGTCGAGGAGCTAGCTCAGGCGGCTGGATTCGCCCCACAGCCTGGGGCCAGGTCGTCGGAGACCTTTGCGCGCTTCTACAAGTCCGAGGACTCTGTTCCCGGCTGCATTGACCCAGCTGTGGAATCCGGCACTCTGACCCCAGAAGCACTGGGCCCGCCCCCAGAAGCACTGGCCCCGCCCCTTCAGACAATGATCCCTCCCTCTGAGGACCTGACCCAGGCCCTTGAAGGCCAGACCCCACCTTCTGAACCCCTTAAGCTGCCCTCAGAGTCTCAGGTTTCACTCTCGCAGGTTCTGGCTCCGCCCACAGGGCGTCAGACCCCCAAACCAGAGAGTCTGATCTGACCCCCAGAGACCACGTCCCCCATCTCTGCCTTCTAAAGTTAGGCCCTGGAATTAGAACCCGCCTCTAGAATACTCAGTTATACTCTCAACATTCCCACTCAGCCCCAGAAGTGTTCCTAGAATTTCAGATTCCATTCCCTGGATTCCATATTCTATTCCTGGAATTCTAGATTGTTCTCTCAGAGTTCTGCATTCCACTCCTGGGACTCTAAGTGTAGCCTAGAGATCTGGCCCAAGGTCTCAGCTCCTCTGCGTGCATCCCCTTGTCCCCAGGAGTCCCGTTCCTAACTGGAGGTTGGGGGTGTCTCCATTCCTGGGGCTGGTGAGCACCCACGAAGTCCCAGTAAAAGAGCCAGGTCCTCTTCTCCGTGTGTCCGTGTGTCTTTCCTGTCCTCAGTCTGTCTCCGGGGCTGGGAGAGGGGAAGGGCAGGAGTGGTTCAGAGAGGAGACCCGAGACCAGATTTCTGGGTTTCCGAGTGGACTAGGGGTAATTTTCTGGTGCTGTCACCTCAGAGTCTGGGCACCTAGATCCTCATATAAATCAGCCAAATTTATTGAGTGGCTAACAGGTTTGGGGCGCTGAAACTGACCATAAGATGGTGAAAAAGACAAAGTTCCAGCCCTCATGAAGACTGCAATTTAGTGACAGGACAAGATTTAAGGGAGGGGCCGGGGGCCCAGACTCCCGGGTCTGAGGGAGGAGGGGTTGGGGGTCCGGACTCACGGGTCTGAGGGAGGGGGGAGCCGGATTCCCAGGCGGCCAAGGTGAAGGGGTGATTCAGCTGGAGCACGGCCTGCCCCACCCCTCACGCGCCTGGTTATCTCGCATCCTGGGCAGGGGGAGGAGGGGGCAACAGTATATTTAGTCTCTGTCCTCGCCCTTTATCTCAGTGTCCTCAGTGAAGCTTGGGCAGACCGGACAAGACCGAAGTCCCGGGTTCCTTCAAGGTCACCCCGGACGCCCTCTCACTGGCCCTCCAAGAGCCCCTTGCCCCTTCTCTGCCTCCTGCAACTCCTGGCCTGAGACTCAGCATGGCGGACCAGTGAGTGATGCTTAGTACCCTGGTCTCCCGAAACCCGGGTAGTGGGAGGTGGGGCGACCTCCCGGGCTCCCGAGATGGGTGAGAGCTGCGAGGTTGGAGAGCTGGCCTGAGAAGGCAGGGAGGGGCAGGACTCGTGGGTGTAAGTGGGAATGAGGCAAGAGTTTGGGAATCAGACCCCTAGGACCTGAGAAGGGGGGACTGGTGGGCCGGACCTCATAGTCACAGGTGCTTCTGGGGTCCCTTAGGAGACGGACTGGAAGGGACACAGGCCCACCATTAACCCCCTGTCTTGGTTTTTCTCCCTGCAGGAGCGGCAATGCGGTGAGAGCAGGCGTGGGTGCATTCGCACCGCCGGGGATGGTGTGGTGTGGAGGGGTCTGGGGCGGGAGTCTGCAGCCCCAGAGCGGGCATGGAGAGGGGCTAGGGAGTCCCGCTGGTGACGTGGCTCGGTTCCCCCGACCCCAGGCCCCGCCCCCGGTCCGACGCCGCTCCTCGGCCAACTACCGCGCCTACGCCACCGAGCCGCACGCCAAGGTGAGGGCGGGGCCCTGCGGGGGGCGGGGCCCCGCAGGGGGTTTCCCGCACCTTGGGGAGGGGGCGGAGCCAGGACCTCAATGGGGCGTGGCTTCGGCCATGGGCGGAACCCAAGAGGATGAGTGGCTTCAGGGGCGGAGTTTCGCACACAACCGGGCTCGGATTGGTGAGAACTGCCTGTGGGCGGAGTTCCGGTGCCCGTGAGAACTGCGACTGCTTTGGGAGTGGTGGGTGGTGCCTAGCCGGAGTCAGAGGCTCAGATTGGTGGATGGGGCTGAGGGGCGTGGCTTCCCGTAGGCTATGGGCTGGAGTTGGAAGCAGGCCCAAATCTGGACCTGGTTTCAGGGGGCGGGTTCTGAAGCCCCTCTCACTGCCCACCTTCGGACCCCCCTCCCTGATTCTTCATTGGTTCTTCTCACCCCGGCAGAAAAAGTCTAAGATCTCCGCCTCAAGAAAGCTGCAGCTGAAGGTGCGGATGGGCCTGGAGAGGGCGCCTAGTTCTCAAGGGGGCGGAGCTTGAAGGTTGGGGTGGGGCTTCGGCTGTGCGAGTGGGCGGGGCTTTCCTTGCTGTGCGGCGTTATGGGGACTTGGCTTCGCGGCGGAGAGCCCCCCCCCGTGGGAGGGGCGTGGCCTTGAAATGATTGATCTTGAGGGGGCGGGTCTCTGGAGGGCGGAGGCCGCTTTCCCAGGCGCGCAGTCCTTAGCCATCTACGCCGGGTGGGCGATGGTCCCCTCCGCAGACCCTGATGCTGCAGATTGCGAAGCAGGAGCTGGAGCGGGAGGCGGAGGAGCGGCGCGGAGAGAAGGGGCGCGCTTTGAGCACGCGATGCCAGCCTTTGGAGCTGGCTGGGCTGGGCTTCGAGGAGCTGCAGGTACTGGCTGTAACCAGGGACTCTTGCCCAGCCCGGGGTCCGAGGTTCCTACTGTCCGGACTTGCATCCTTAGGACTCACGGGTATAGGCGGTATCCCCTCCTGCTCAGGACCTTCCCGTCCAATCCCCCAATCCTCACCATCAGGAATTCAGAAATATGGCCTGCAGCTGCCCACAGTCTCAAAACCCAGAGGTCAGTTCCTCCAACCTAATTCAGTCAGATTCTCAGGACTCCGGAGTTCTGCCTTGTTCACAGTTCCCCCAGAATCCAGCTTCAATCTTATCCTTCAGGACCAGATGTCCAGGTCCCCAGCCCCCCTCCTCCCTCAGACCCGGGAGTCCAGGCCCCCAGTTCCTCCTCCCTCAGACCCAGGAGTCTGGATCTCCAGCTTTCCCCTCACCACACACACTACCATTCCTCCACCAGGACTTGTGCCGACAGCTCCATGCCCGTGTGGACAAGGTGGATGAGGAGAGATACGATGTGGAGGCGAAAGTCACCAAGAACATCACGGAGGTGGGAGGCACTGGGCATTCTGGGTCCCTTCAGGGTAGGATGCAATGCCTGGGCCTGTGGTCTCAGCCTGACCCCTGGCAGCTGCTTGTGGTTGCAGACACCAGGAGACCCAGGACAAGTCTGTGAGTCTGGCAGGGTGGGGGCAGAAGGATGAGTACAATATGATCGGGGAAGACTGTCCCAGGCAGAGGGAACAGCACATGCAAAAGCCAGGAGGTGGGACAGAAGAAAATATGTTTGTGGAATTGTGTGGCTGCAGCATGGAGTGTTGGTAAATGAGCTCAGGCACGGGCTGGGGAACAGTGAGATGCATGTAGCTGGACTGGGAAGTTTCAGTGGTTTTCAGAGAAGACACTGGGACGGATCGGGGAGGGCTTCCTGTTCCCAGATGAGGAACTTGGATTTTGTCCCAAAGGCAGTGGGAGCCTGAGCTGGGGAGAGCCTGGATGAAGCCTGGATAGGGATAGGAGGGGAGTGGAGGGTGGAAGAGTAGGGCAAGGGGGAAGTGGAGGGAGGGGTCTCCACCTCCTCTTATGGCCACCCCCAGATTGCAGATCTGAATCAGAAGATCTTTGACCTTCGGGGCAAGTTTAAGCGGCCCACCCTGCGGAGGGTGCGGATCTCTGCGGATGCCATGATGCAGGCACTGCTGGGGACCAGGGCTAAGGAGACCTTAGACCTTCGGGCCCACCTCAAGCAGGTGAAGAAGGAAGACACCGAGAAGGTGAGCATGGCTAGGGCCAGGAAAGGGGGTGCTTAGAGGTGAGGGTGTGGGAGGCAACAATCCCAGGGCCTATCCTGAGGGCAGATGGTGCTTGGAGTTGTGGGGATAAGTATGTGGTAAGGATCCTCAACAGGAAGTATAGGAGGGACACAGGAAATGCAAGAGGAAGATAGGAAGTAGAACAGGAAGGCAGGAAGTGCATTAGGGAGAAAGGAAGTAGCAAGGAGTGAGGAGGTGCACAGGGTGACAGGAAATGGGAGGGGAAAGACAGACGTGCAATAGGAAAGGAAGATGTATGTAAGGAGTAGGGAGTGTACGTGGGAGACAGGAAGTGCAGGTGGGAGACAGGAAGTGTAGGAAGGAGACAGGAGGTGCAGGGGGGAGGCAGGAGGTGCATGTGGAAGACAGGAAGTGCAAGAGGGAGACAGGAAGTGAATGGGGCAAATTGGAAGGGATTGTTGGAGGGGACAAGAAGTGTTCCTGAGCGAGATCCTTGGACAGGCATGCAGAACAGAGTGGCCCAGCAGCCTGGAGGGCAGGTGGAGGATGCTTGAGACTGTGGACCAGGAAGAGCCGCTAACCTCTGACCCTCTTCCCTCCAGGAAAACCGGGAGGTGGGAGACTGGCGTAAGAACATCGACGCGCTCAGTGGAATGGAGGGCCGCAAGAAAAAGTTTGAGGGCTGAGCCGCCCTGGCCCTGAGAATGGCCCTGAGGAATAAAGCTTCTCTCTGACCTGGGAGTGGCTGTGTGTTTACTCCCTGGGGGTTTAGGTGTGAGAGAGACCGGAGAACTGAGGGCAGGGCGCCCCAAAGCCATGCCGCACACCAGGAGCTGAGCTGGGTCTCTGATATGGGGCGTTCTAGGCTCCTCTGCTCCAGGTGGGTTGCACAGAGAGGTGGAGACCGAGGCCCAAAGAGAGAGACATCCAGAGACACAGAGACTGAGTCAGAGACACTCACACAGAGTCAGAGACCCAAGGAGAGAGGAGAAAAAAGACAGAGACTCAGAAAGAAATGGAAAACAGAGAGATGTACACACAGCGAGACGCAGAGACAATGGAGACCCTGTAGAGGCAGAAATAGGGACCCAAAAAGGGAGAACTGCAGAGACATAAAGAGAGACCCCAGAAAGAGCTAGAAGGATAGAGGCGTGAAAGACAGAGCCAGAGAAACAGAAACAGTGTTACAGACAGACATGCGCAGAGAGACCGGGAGACACAGACACCAACAGACAGACCCCGAGAGAGACAGATATGCAGAGACACAGAAATGCAGAGACAAAACGTGCAGAGGCACATGCAGAGTGAAGAACACAGACATAGAGAGATGCAGAGAGAGAGCCCAAAACAGAGAACCAAAGAGAAACCGTGGAGAAATGCATAGACCCAGAGATGCAGAGACGGCAGACAGTGAGGTAGAAACAGAGAGAGACAGAGACAGCAAGAGGCTGGAGGGGTGAGCAATCCCGCTCTCCAGGGCTGGCTCCCCACCGGTCAAGGGCATGGCTGGGCAGGGAAGCTGGGAGAGGGATACCAAAAAAGATCAGCGTCAGATGGAGGTGGGAGGTGAGGTCACAGGCCTGACACCCCACCCTCTCCCCTCCCCCAACACACACCTGCTGCCCGGCTTTAGTGCCTGTTGTCACCAGGGTGGAATCCTGGTGGCAGACAAAGGAGTGGGGGTGGGGAGGAGGAGACAAAGAGATGGACGGAGACAGAGGGGGGAGCCTGAGAAGCAGAGAGAGACACAGAGACACACAGATGGAGAGTCACAGAGACAGAAACAGGGTATGAGAGATGGAGGCCCAGAGAGACACAGAAAAAGTGATGACAGCGATGCAAAGAGAAAGTGTCCCTTGTACCCCTTTAGTCAATAAACAGTCTCCAAGGACCTACTGTGGGCTGAGCCTGGGGACTTCAAAGCATAGAATGCCCTGTGCTGTAAGGGAAGTGGGGAGCCCTGGACTCAGCCCGGGGTTCCAGGGAGGGAGGCGCTAATGGGGTGGGGGAGGGGTCCCCGAGCAGCCCGGAGATGCCTGGATCCCGACTGTGGAGCCCGGGTGGGGGCAGGGCAGCCTGAGCTGGGACTCCCGTCTGGAGAAGGAATTCCCTCCTCCTCCCTCTCCCCCCCGGGGGCGGGGCTGAGCCTCCGGCTATAAACCCGGGGGTGCCTCAGCCGGCCCAGCAAGACTCTGCCCCACGGTTTACCGCCTCAGAAGGCCCAGCCTTAGGTAAGTCCGGGCCCTGTGGTGTCCTCGCAGGAGGGGGCAGGAGGGGTGGGAGATGTGAGGGGTGTGGAGAAGAGGTAAGAGATGGAAGGGGCATGAAAATCAAGGTCTGGGAGTTGAGAGGCTCTGACTTTAGGGGGACTGAGAATGGAGGAGAAAGTATTAGGATTTGGAGGCTACAGAATATAACACCTTAGGACCTGTCAGAGTCAGGGAATCTCAGAAATTGGGGGCATCTGGGCATGAATGTCAAACAGTCTGGGTGTCAGGACTTGGGGGGTCTCAGAATTTGGGGTTTTTGGAATTGAGGTCTCAGGATCAGAGGTCTCATGATTAGAGGTGTCAGAATTTGTAGTGTCCTAATTCGGGGCATCATGAATTGGGCCTCGGAGTTTGAGTATCCAGGTTTTGGGGTCTCGTTATCTTGAGGTTTCAGAATTTAGGTGGTATCAGGCCCCGGCGGGTCAAGATCATAGGATGTCCAGGCCCACATTCTGGGCTGTCAAGACCCGGAGTCTCAGAATTTGGAGATATGAGGACTTGCTGGTCCTCAGAAACCAGGAGCATCGTGAACTGGGGTCTCAGAATGTGTGGGCCTTGAGATTCGCAGGGACTCAAACTGGGCACCTTGAGACCGAGGGGATCCCAGAGATGGGAGGGGTCTAAGCATTTAGGGGTCAGGATGAGGTCTGTGGACAGAAGTTGCTCTCGATGCCTCCTGTCCCCTCGTAGCTGTGGGTGAAGGTGAAGGAAGGAGACAGGTGGGAAGATGACCAACCAGAGGTGAGGGAGAGTGGGGGTGGGAGAGGGGAGGGGGGGCACTAATTCTCCCAGAAGCCCCCCATCCCTTCTTAGGAAATGTCCTCTGTTTCACCCTGTATGACATCCCCTCAAAATAGCCCTTGGGGGTGGGGCAGCTATTGTCTTCAGGCCACTGTCCCTTCCCAAATACCTTCTCCTAATCCTGACTGAGATCAAGTTCCCACGGACATGTCCTAAGACAAAAGATGACAGCTGTGGTGAGGGGGCTGGGGCTGCAGCCTTGGGACTCTGCCTGGGCTGCCTGGGCCACACCTCCCAATGCCCTGTCCTCTTGCATAGTTTAGGAGTCCAGGCCCCCAGCCCCTCCTCCCTCAGATCCAGGGGTCCAGGCCCCCAGCCCCTCCTCCCTCAGACCCGGGGGTCCAGGCCCCCAGCCCCTCCTCCCTCAGGCCCGGGGGTCCAGGCCCCCAGCCCCTCCCCCCTCAGACCCGGGGGTCCAGGCCCCCAGCCCCTCCTCCCTCAGACCCGGGGGTCCAGGCCCCCAGCCCCTCCTCCTTCAGACCCGGGGGTCCAGGCCCCCAGCCCCTCCTCCCTCAGAAAGTCCAGCCTCCCACCCCCTCCTTCTGGACCCCACCCCACTCCACCTGTTCTCTGCGGTCCCAGGTCACATCAGGATGTCGGACACGGAAGAGCAGGAATATGAGGAGTGAGTGATGCCGACTGGGGGCTTGGAGAAGGGGAGACACTCTCCCACCTCCAAAGCCTCTAACTTTCCCCCTCCTTCTTTCCCTCCCACTCGGTCCTCAGGGAGCAGCCAGAAGGTGAGTGGACAGTGCACTGGCCTCGGGGAGTAGGGACACCCCCCGCACAAAGCCAGTGGGAGGCGAGGGGAGGTGTGGCCCCTTCCCGGGAGGGAGCCGGGGAGGCTGCGGGAGCGTGTCCAGGCGCTCTCCCAGGGCCAGCGGCAGAGGCGCACGGTGCCCATCTGCACCTGAGGCCCAGAGGAGTCCCTCGGCCCCGGCCCCCCTGGGCTCCTAACGCCCTCTCCTCTCTGCCCCACCCCTTCCAGAAGAGGAGGCTGCCGAGGAGGAGGAGGAAGGTGAGGCCCCGGACTCCGCAGGTCTGGAGCTGGACGCGGACGCGGGCCGCCGGGCCGGGTGGGGTGGGAACACTGGTCCAGGGGTGGAGGCTGGCGGGGCACGGGGGTCCCGAAGACCTCGGCTTCAGTTCCTTTAACAGCCTCTCCCCTCTCTCCCCTCTCTCCCCCTCCCATCCCCGGCGTGGCCGCTCCCCGCCTGGCTCCCCAAATCCTCGCTTCTCCTCCTGCCCCCTCCCCAGCCACCGAGGAGACGGAGCCGGTGGCAGAGCGAGGTAACCACGGCTGCTTCGCTTCTCAAGACCGATTTCGGGGGCCCAGACCTCCGCGATGACTCCCTCCCGCCCGCGTAACCCGCCCCAGGCCCGGCCCTTTAAGCCCCGGAGCGCGCGCGCCCCCTGGAGGCCGCGAAGGGAAAATCGCCTCGCGGCGGCTTTAACCCTTTCCCTTCCGTCTTAAAGGGACCGACACCCAAGCCTTCTTCCCCAGCCTGGAGGAATACTTACAGAAGGGTTGGATGTTTGCGGAGGGGCACCACCCCATCCCCCCTCATCTTCGCCCCTGACCCTGTCTGCTATTTTTCTCCTCCATATACATTCAAAGGTTGGGGCCTGGGTGGCAGAAGGGGCTAGCTCTGGGAGTCCCCGTTCCTGTGTCCCCAAGGGGGAGGGGGCCGGGGACACAACTCCTGGGTCACTGAGTGAAGAGAGGGTTTGGGGCCCCTCTGCACTGCTAGGTCTTCATGGAGGAGGGCTGGAGCTCTGGGTGGGTAGAAGGAGGAGGGTTTGGGAGTTTGGACCCCTGGGTTCCCAGAAAGGAGGGGGATCCCCACACCGGTTCTGAATGTATATCTGATGCGTGTGACCCTCCTCCTCCTTCCGGCCATCCTGATTTCCCTCCTCCCCTTTTCTCCTCCCCCTCCTGCCCCCCCCCCCCCCCCCCAGAGCAGCAGCAGGAGGGAACTGGGCTTCTGGGGACCAAGTTCTGGGGGGTTCCCTCCTCTGGGTGTCTCAGGCCTGCCCCCATGAGCTCTTGCTAATTATCTCTTTGTATCCCCCCACCAGAAGAGGAACGCCCCAAACCAAGGTGAGATCCTAGGGGGTGGCGGTCCCAATCACATCCTCCCAAATGTGTCCCCCAACTCCAGCGATAGGGCCAAGAAAGGCAGGGGAGGAGAGCGGGGAAATTGATATAGACGGCAGGACAGTCAGCAAGGCCCTCTTTCAGCAAACGTTTCTGGAGAACTTCCCACTGTGTTTGGCCAGTCGGCCCCTGGCTTCCCGGTTGGTGAAACAGACCCAGATACAGTGATGGCGGCCCAGGGTCCCGGAGCAGCACAGAAGAGGGCCCTCCCCGTGCCCTAGGCAATCAAGGCAGGCTTCCCCAGGGAGGTGATACCTGAGTCCTGAGGGATGAGGAGTTCGCTAGCCGAAGGAGGTAGAAGGGACATTGTAGACAAGACAGCGGTGTGGTGCGGGCAAGGTCCAGTGGCTGGATCTAGGCCAGTATTTCAGGGAAGAGACTCAGAAATAAGTCCTTCTGACGAGGGGGATCCTAATCCAGGCAGACCATTGGAGGCCGTGAGAGTTCACGAAGGAGAGGGGCCCTGGAAGAGGTGACATTGTGGCCAAAGCTTGGAGAGGCAAA